CCTAGGGTAGAATGCATGTTACTTGCAGTATCACCGAGTAAAAATAAAGGGAAAAAGTAATAAAAAATGAAAACTAATGCAGCCACCACATCTATGGATTAGTAAGCTGCAGCATATTACATTTTTGTTCTTGGGTTTGGATACACTTTACTGATACAGTAAATGTATACGTTCTTTAGTTAACTAAGTTAAAACATAGAAAGAAAGTTGTGGTTCTACCTTTGTAGGACTGATTTATAGTGCACGAGCTCTGATAAATAAACACACAGATGATTGCACATACCGGTAAGTGTTGCATGCTGCATGATATCTATTGCTTATGCTATTTTGCACTTTATTTAATCCACTCTTGCCTTTAGTAATTTCTCTTCTCATAGTCACTTCATGCTGTCTGCTGCTTGTAGTGCTCACTTGTAGATCTCTAGGCTGCTAGCCATTAGCCATGAGCTTTAATTTGCTCAGTAGTGCGGCATAGTGAATGGCTGAATGGTTGTCATGTATATGCAATGCTAGTGAATGCTGCCCACCAACATTCCATCAATGGTATCCCATAAAACCAGTTCTTTTACAAAGTAGAAACAACTTCAACAACACAAATATGTTCATAATTTCACATTGTCAGTGCGGCTCTTAGCCTTTAAAGTGCCCTATGCTCTACTATGGACTGCACACATCATAGATTGGGGGAGAGAAATGCTCAGGTTTTTATGACCAATAGATAGTTTAGATAGATAGATAGATAGATAGATAGATAGATAGATAGATAGATAGATAGATAGATAGATAGATAGATAGATAGATAAATGGATGGAGATGTCAGACATAAAGTCAAGTGGTGAAGGGTAAGGATTTCTGTTCTGTTTTATTGCTGTTCAAAGGGAATATATCCCCTCACTTCCTGCTCTAGTAATAAGTATCTTCAGAAAAAGAAGTGAGACAAATGTCCCCAACAGGAATAGGGACAGCAAAAAAGCATGGCAGAGGTTCTAACTAGAGGTGCACCGAAATAGAAATTTTAAAACCGAAACAAAACCGATATAAAAAAAATTGTCAGGCCGAAACCGAAAATGTTTTTTATGTTAATTTTTTCAATTTTTATTTAATTTTTTTAAACTTTTTATTTTTTTATATTTATTGTTATTTATTAATAACAAAACAAATATTTTTAGGGGCTTCGGGGAAATATTAGGGGTCTAAACCCTTGATATTTCCCTTTTAAAATAGAAATAAAAATTGAGGACACAAAGTCCTCAATCTCTTTTTCTGCAGCCCCTGTTATCAATGAACAGGAATCCTCTATACTGAGTGTTCCTATTCATTGATAACATGATAACAGAGTATGTTTACTATAACTACAATTATGAATGAACAGGAGGTGATGTAGATCACTCCCATTCATTTATAATTGAGGATATAGTAACCATACCATGTCCTTATCTACAAACACTCAGCAATCACTGATCACGGAGTGTTTGTACCGCTCTCCTCTCTGACACGCTGCCACAGGAGGCTGATCGAGCAGTGTAGGGAGGAGAGCTCAGCCTCCTGTTACAGTGTGGCCTGTCTCCGCCCACACACCACTCTGCCGGACTGTGATAGGAGGCTGAGCGGTGTGGGAGGAGAGACGGCGGCCGCTCACAGCGCTCTTCTCCCGCAGCACTCCGCTGGCTGTCACACTTTCTCTCCTCCCTGCTGGGACAGAGAGCAGCGCCCAACGGGCAGGAAAGAAAGCAGGGAAGCGCAGATGTATCGGCAGGAAAATGGCACTTTCGGCATTATGCCAAAGTGCCATTTTTACCGATATGTTTTGGCGGCCCAACATATCGGTGCATCCCTAGTTCTAACACTTTCTTGTTCTACACAAAGCTATAACATAAAGTGTTGGAAGCGCTGGGTGCCATGGACCAGTGCTACTATATTTGGTAGTGCCAAAAAGTCTTCAGGTTGGCATTATGTTGGCGACACACATTTAGAGGCTCATTTAAAAAGCAGTGGTATCAGCACATGGGCAGCTGTAGAACAAAAAAAAAACTGAGTTGTACACATTTATATAGCACAAAGAATTTCGGAAGAGCGAAGGAAAGATGGAGGATCTGCTATTAGGGAGGGGGGCATCAAAACAAACCTGTTGCTGGCTGCAATACACATGGTGGTCCATAAAACAGATTATAATGGCTTCTGTGCATATCTCTTCTGCAGTGGAAGATGCATAAAGAAGATAACATATATTTCAGTGTTGTTATCTATGTCAGATGCTTGCATAACAACCATACAAAAGAAAGATGTCTGTGTAGTATAGATAATAACCAGATTCCAAGTTTCATTTTCTATGACTCTTGAAAACAAAAGGCTTGAACCTGCCTGGTCTCTCCCAGACCTCCAATATATTCTGTATGAAGATCGTACTGCACTGAAAGCAGCAGCTCACTTCTACTCTGTTCACTCCACTCTGATTACACTTGTCTGTGGCCGATTCTCACCTTCTGTTTCTTTTAGGGAATACAATGGCCGGGAAAAAAATAATAATAGAGTTACATAGCTGCTTGACTTATAAAATATTAATACATGAATAATCAACAGAATCTTTACAAGGGCGTAACTATGTTCTACACACACATACATTTATAATCATTATAGGACCCCTGACTATCCATTCAACAAATCTACAATACCTAAAAGTTATTTTTGATGGTTCACATTTTTACTAAGTTGCTTTTTTTTCATATTGTGTTTCATATACGGATTTGTAAATATTCCCTCAAGTGGTCATGTGTAAATCAGGGAATGTAATTAGCATCCCTGCTCCCTGACTGTTGATAAAAGCTCCATTATTATAGAGCGTATGTGGATTTCAGGTCAGACCCATAGACTTCCACCGCAAAGGAGGACAGATATAACACAATCACTGTGCAGCACTGCAAGCAGCATATCATGGCTGCCCACATGTACACATATTACTGTACATGTTTCACATAAGGATTTAAAATGGACTTGTTCATAAAATTGCCTCTTCACGTGAACCAATGGAGGCCAGGCCAACAAAACCAAATAATATTATATTTTTGAGTACAAAAAGGCCTATTTCTTGACATAGATAAATTTTAAAAAATGATAAGCTCCTCCATGTCTCTTTAGCTAGCCACACACCTTACACCTTGATTGTATTATCTCATTTAGATTTATTGGCATCTACATGTGCAGCTGGATGAATAAAGATTTACAGGGTTAGTCACAAAAGGGTGAAGAGTTTGGAGAAGGCAGGAGAAGTGAACAATCTAGGACAACGTAGCTAATTTGGAAAAATTCACCAATTCAGCTCACTTTCCTGTTCAGATGTTGTCCTAGATTGTTCCCTTCTCCTGCCTTCCCCAAACTCTTCACCCTTTAGTAAATAGCCCTGTGAATGAATTGTTAGTTAGGCCCTTGTCCTACATAATTGCTGATAAATCTAAAGCAGATTGCACAGAGATTATACAATCAGATTGTGAGGAGTGTGGCAAGCTTTACAGCCAGGACAAAGACCTTTGGCTACCAATGTGCACTAGTTGCTACAGATTTCGCTACTAGTGCAATGTGGGTTTTCTTACAGGCACTGTAAGGCAGGCCTGGGCATTTTACGGCCCACGAGCTGTGTCCTGCCTTTTGTCTGTATCTGTCTGGCCCGTGGTCTGAACACAGCTTGCCGACCTGTGTGTGGTTATGGCTGGCTGACAGTGGATGTGCTGGCCTCAAAGGCCGGTGCATCCACTGCAAGCCATAGCCCAGTGCAGGACAGCGAACGGTCCATGTTTGGACTGTGGTCCTCCTTCTCTGCAGTCATAGTTTGCTAGGACCACTGGACAGTCCCGGCAACCAGTGATGTCAAATGCATTCCCGCCCCCAGCATTACAGGAGGAATCTTCTTCTGTCCGCTCCTGCAGCTCCACCTCCCACCTCTGGCCTATGGAGAGAAAAGAAAATGAGTTATGTGCCACAATAAGGCTTAATTCAGGGCACCTATTGCTTGTGGTAATCACATGGTTCAGTGTGATTAATGCACAGTACCGTGCAACACACCTACCATGTGGCAGGTGTGTTGCGTTGCATGCACTACTTTTTTCAATCTCAACATACAATATTGTGGTACGGCACGTTGCGGTGTGGTCGACCACATTGTGCTTTTGGGGTACCATTCAAATGAATGGCAACGCAACGCACCTGCCGCACTGTAACACAAAGTAGGTGCATTGTATGGTACTGTGTGTTAATTGTTTTGGCCCTCCACAACATGCCCAGTTTCTCATGTGGCGCTTAAGAAAATGATTTGCCCACCCCTGCTGTAGGAGGTCTGTTGTTTTCAATCATACACTTTTTCAGCAAGATAAGATATAGTTACGTCCTTGTATCTGTATGTTTTCAATTAAACTAAAGTATCAATCTCTGTGAACCATTTACTAATTTCACTCACTTCGTATTGTCTCCTGATTGGGGGGATAATCAAAGGGATCAAATATAATCATTAATGCTATGATGGTACTAATATCTATTAATTTACCCCCTCCTCTATTGACCTTTAATTATATTATTAAACAGCAGTAATACTTTTCTAATTACTCCGGGTATTAAAGAAACTAATGAGCTGATTATAACAGTCATAGAATTCTTACGAAAGATTAAACTAACATTGCTTCTTCCACCTTTGCTGACTATCTCCATGCTTAAAACATTGTGATTTCTCTATAACCGTGTTTACTTTTGCTCTGCATGGGGGTTTCTTAAACCACTTCAGAACTTAATTGCGCCAATGCCACTCCATTGCATCCGGACATTAAAACTGTGCCGTGTCAATGCGCCGCAGCGGAATCAACAGTCAACTTCCTACCATCGGCAGAGATCCAGAGCGCATTGCATTGCAGAGTCCCCAAGCCTGTGGGAAGCCACACCTCCTGCCACACAGAAGGAGCCACTAACACCGCATCCTTTAACCGTCCGCTAAACACATATTCCTGCTGCCACCTCAGGCTTTTGAAAGTATGCTGCAGTTATCTGAGGCGCGAGCCACTTATCAAGAATTTTGCATCCCCATGTGCATTGTGCCTGCCACCATTAGCAACAATGTCCCCGGCACTGACTTAAGTCTTGGAGCTGACACTGCTCTCAATACCATTATGGAGGTAAGGTACTAACTTTGAAATCGAGAAGTTATTTTAAGGGCCACTAAATCTAAAATACAAACATGACCACTAAACGGTGTACACGGTATACAATCAGACAAAAAAATGAAGAAGAAAAAAATGCCATATATTTTGCTTTAATAAGGGTAATACTGCATTGGTCCAGACTCTAGTCCCATGATTGGTGCTGTGTTTTTGTCAGGGGGCTTTCCCAGTAGAAGTTGATAAACTTGCATCAAAAGTTCAGGAAGAGTTGGACAGACAGGGGCTCTACCTGAACAGTACCTCTAACACGCTCCGTATCAGCTGAGAACTTCTGGTCACCAGACTAGGTACTAGACCAACGGGATTTCCATTATTATGTGTTGCTGACCACAATTCTATTTGATGAGCTTGCTGGGCAAGAAGTCAAGCAATTGCTCCCATAATACCTTCTATGCATTGAATAAAGCCCAACTCCGGCCAAAGTGTTTTTTTTGCATTATTGGATGAAGTAGAGAAGGTTTATAACCTCTAGCCAACACTGGGGATGGAAGGAGATGGGCTTTAAGTTTTTTACATCTATTAGTAATATTACTTATGACGTTTTGCTGGTATTTTAGGGTTATTGGTCCTTTAAGGTGCCGTCTTTTACATTGAAAAGAAACAAAATTCTAATCGAAATGGATTATAATGACGATATCAGATGAAGCAGAACCATTTCTAATAAACATGTTTGTGTGGTAGTGGTCCTATACACATTTATCCAACACATTTATATATATTTTGTGTTTCTTTTTTAAATATAAGGGATTATTTAGGAAATCAGATGTCTAGACATTGGCCGGGGTAAAGGAAAATAATTGAGTGGGAAATGTTACTAAATTATCAGTCTGCATAAATATATTCAACATACATAAAAAGTATAATTTCCCTTCATAAAACGTCAGCTTTTATCATTACAAAGCAGCTACTATGCCTAGTCTGAGGGGAGCATTCTGGGAGAAAGATGTCATCAGCCCGCTGTAGGCAGGAGGAAACATTTTCTCAGTCTGCTTGCCCTCAGTGATCACTGACTTGAACGGTTGTAATGTAACTACCTGGCATCTTTTAAAAGAGAACTATAGCCAAACCTTTTTTGGCTTTAGTTCTCTTTTGGGTCACAGGAGGACATTTACTGATGTCTTCCTGTGACCCATAGCTACCTGATTGACAGCTGGCTCTGCCTCTCTACATCCAGAGCCAGCTGTGCCCCCCCCAGGAGCCTGATCTCTGTGAGACAGCATGGTTTCCCACAGTCAAGGTCATACTGCTGTGCAGTATCCAATATCTTCATGGTTGGGTCATCTATGGGCCAAAATCTTGGTCCAGGACGGAAGTGCTAACTCGGGATGATGCCTGAACAAAGATAGTGCTGGCTTTTATAAAGAAAAAAAAGGTATTGTCAGGAAAAATACTCTGATCTCCTAGTAAGGTAACACATACTTGTAACTGTTACATTGATTCTTTACTTGGCATGCACAATAAGCATTCAAAATATAGCTAAGGTATATGTCCACCTTACCAATTCAAAGATCCAAGAAAATCACAAACCTAGTGCGAGGGTAACCCCACTGCAAGTGTTTAATGCTTAGTTTGTCTAGGGGGCTGGAATAAAGCAGATATACTCACCTGATCCTCTGTCCTGCGGCAATCGGCACTTATCTCTCTACCCCTCTGCTCTGCATATGAAATGTCCCTTGGCAACTCATGTCTAATGCAGGTCAATGGAACTGCATAACATGCGATAATGTCAGCGGTCCTTAGATCACCAGGTCCCAGGGAAGAAGAAGTTGCGGGGACCAGTCTAGCAGCCCGGGGGGAGCTGGCGGGACAGATGATCAGGTAACTAAATCTGCTTTATTTGAGACCTCTAGACAAAACGAGCACCTAACCCTTCCAGTGCAGGGATACACCCACTGCAAGAGTAAGTAGGGGAGTGTGGGAGTTAATTTCACGGGAGTTCTTCTTTAAAGCCCATTTACCACCTTTGCGGAGGTATTTAAAAAAAAAAAACATGCCAGCCGAGTGTACATGAAGCAGGCATATGCAGTTAGCTGCCCTCTTCATGGCTCCTTTTGAAATGGCTGGGCTTTGAAAGCAGTCTGTGTAAATTAAAACTCCTTTTCTGAGCTCTCCCCCCCTATTCATTAGCATTCATAGTGGCAACCCGCCCTGGACAGTGTAAAGGCAGAGCTGGTGTGCAGTGATCTTGTTACACTGACTCACAGGGAGGGGGTTGGCTGCTTTACAATCTCAGTGTCAGACTGAGCTTTCTGTGGAGAAAATGTTCAAATTGTAGGACTCAGGCTTACTAAAAAGTCCATAAAAAAAATGTAAAAAGCCAGCAATGTGAGTTATGAAAATGTGCACACATATACATCATCGCTGCACCTCTACATTACCACAATAAGTGCTAATCACTTACAAAGGTGGAAATGGGCTTTAAGAGCATTTTGTGGCCCTTTGGTAGGTATATTGTGTAAATAACTGTGTTACGGGCACCTCATGTTTCAGAATCTGTCATCCCAAGCAATTTGACAATATGTTTTCCTTTTTTTATATTCTTAATTATTTATCATTGCATACACTAGTTTCTCCTGACATAATATTAAGTTCTATTTCTTTCTTTCTGTCAAATTAACTCCAGCAATTATACATTTAGATTCTTATGTTAGAACATGATGAAGGAGCTTAAAATGGGTAAAACATATTGCATGAATGGGAGGCTATTTATATAGTTGCTCCAGGCTATGTACAGTAGTTTTCAGTAATGACCCAGATAGAAAAGTATGCCAGGATATGTTTCATCAGCTTCATTGTATGTGGAAGAGATGAGTCATGTTTCCATTGGCTGCCATATAGAGCTCTGACAAGGTGTTAAACCTGAAGACTGCTCACACATGCATCCATGCATCTAGCTGGTTATCTGTTTGCTCACCTAGAAAGAGAGGATTATACGACTACATGATCCCATTATTGCCAGTGTTTGCATTTGTACTCACACTTTCCAACTGTCCCTATTTAGGAGTAAATGCTTCTGCAATGGGCAGGGCTCAGGGAAATCGGGCAGGACTCAGGGAAATCGGGCAGGACTCAGGGAAATCGGGCAGGGAAATAAACATAATTTCCTCTGAGCTATATTTCTGAGTTCATTTATGCCAAGTTGCATCTAAGATCACTGGCAAGGTTTACTAAAAAGCCCTTTATTTGTAAACTGATTTTGAAAATAGTTATGACAGAGCAGGAGGCAAAGTACAATCCCAGCCATTTTTGTGCTAAGGGCCCATTCACACCTATGCGTTGGGATGACACAGTTTAACACACCACACACATGTTTTCAATGGCACGCCAATGCATTAAGGGAATGCACCTGTATCGCAGTGCATTGCGATACTCTACCATGTGCTTTGGGATAAAAAAATAGTGCATGTCCGATTTTTGCATTGTGGTGCGCAGTCAGACTGTTCAAATTGATTTGTTTCCTTATTGCAACACACGTATATATGCATTTATTAAATACTCCTCAATATACCGGGTAGGCGTAAATGGGCCCTATTGCTTCCTCAGAGGAAGATAGGTCTGACTTTCCAACAAGCTCTCATGACAGTTCAGCGTCCCCTGGTCACTAGGTAACCAGGGGGCGCTGAACTTTCATTACACAGTGAAAACTCAGCGGAGCTGCCGTGATATCACGGCGGCTCCGCCGGGTTCTCAGTGTAATGACAGATCAGCCTCCCTGGTAACCAGGGGGCACTGATCTGTCTCGCAAGTGGCCGGAGCCAGCCGTGAGATGACGGCTGGCTCCGCCCAGCTCTCAGTAGCAGGCTGCCGAAGCCTATGCTTTTGGCTTGACTGAGCCGCTCGGCCAACTTCGGGAGCTGTACAGGCTATAGTGAATAGCCCGTACAGCAGCCCTACAGTACTACTGAACCGAAGGGGTCCTGGGGCCGAAGCTAGCCGAAGGATCAGCCGAAGCTACGGCTAGATCCTTTGGCAGTTTTGTGAATAACCCTCTTAGTAATGCTATGTGAATTTACCAGATAACCACACACTGAAAGAACAATCCTCCCCCAGCTATTGCCATATGACATGTCCAAACATCCAGACCTCAGTCAGACTCCCAGATATATGTGTGTAGATGTGTAGTATAATGTTTTGTACATTTGTACCTCAGTTGTACATCCGCACACTAATTCATATATTTTACACTCTGCATTAGGGCTGTCCCGATGCCACTTTTTCAGGACCAAGTACAAGTACTTCCCAGCATGTACTTGCCGATAGCAATTACCGATATTTTTTTTTTTTTTTTTAAGGAACAGGTGACTTTAAATGATCCATAGTACATCTACATGCTATGTACTATGGATGATGATTTAACCTATTCATGTTAGCAGGCAGAATTGTAAATCTATTGCTGGAGTGTAGTGGAAGTGTGTACTACATATACATTACACACGTCCAGTACACTATAGCAATAGATTTACAGCCAGCCCCGTCCCAGCTTCCCTCACTCACAGTTTCACTCCGATCCCTGTTGCCTCACACGGTGCCTCTTGTAGTTGTCGCTGGGCAGGATCGCTGCATCGCGTCTCGGTGCTCAGCTTGTGGGAGGCGCGCGCAGTTCTGCCCTGCTAACGTGAATAGGTTAAATCATGATCCATAGTACATATACAGTACACATGTCCCGTACACTGCAGCAATAGCGTTACAATTATCTCCTAACATGAATAGGTTAAATCATGATCCATAGTACATAATAGTACATAACATGTAGTTGTACTACTGATAATTTAACCCATTCACCATTAACCCTTCAGATTAGCAGTGCAGAATTGTAAATCTATTGCTGCAGTGCATTCTGTATGTACTGTATATGTACAGAACATATAGAATGCACTGCAGCAGTAGATCACACAAAAAAACTAAGCCCAGGCCCTGTCTTACTGTTGCCTTGATCGCGGTGCCTCACGATTTTTCTCACACGTGAGGACGTTGGCGCCGCTGAACTGGAGAGGAGCGTCGTGTCACTGCTGCTTCGGTGGGCGGCGCTCCAGGTGGGGTCCTAATTTAGGTGGCCGGCGACTGCCTGGAGCGCCGCCCACCGGAGCAGCAGTGACGCGACGCGGTAAACTTAAAAAAAAAGTGACAGCCCCGCCGCACAGCCGCCTATACATGCTGCAGGTGGCAGAGCGGTGGGGAAGGAGCTGCACTATCTCGGGGTCCGGGGGGCCCCTCTTCTTCCTCTCTGGCACCCCCCCAACAGGCGGAACGCCAGGGCCCGGTCGCAATCGCGACCACTGCGTCCCTGGTAGGGCCGCCAGTGCTGTAATTTGTAGTCCTGTATAGCTGGTGGTAATCTGCGTTCCTGTCTATTCATTGTACAGTTATGCAGAATACCACCAGCTGGACATTTTACATAAAGTCAGCATACCACCCCCCACAGTCTCCCATTTCCACCCCCCCTCCCCGCCATCACCCATAGGGGCTTACCTTACTCCTGCAGAACCTCTTTCTTCTGAGTCCTTGGTGGCCAGTGGAGGGGAGGAGCACAGGAGAGGGTCTTCACAATGACCCCAACAGCAGGATGTGGTGGCCTGGTGGTGCCTGCAGAGTCTGTACAGGCACCACAAGGCTAAACACTCCTTACAGGTGACAGGCATTTACAGAGCCACCTGTCCCATTCCCACACAGCCGCCGCGGGAACATACAGCTGTCACTGTCAGAGTTTACTGCAGTTCAGTGTAAAAAAACACCACAGTACTTGTACTGTGCCGTTTTTTTACACTGAACCGCAATATAGTCTGTGACAGCTGTATGTCCCCGCGGCGGCTGTGCGGGGATGTAATGTGTCACCAGTACCGCGGGTGGGAGAGGCAGGGAGCGGCAGTCTCGGCCACCTACTCCGCCCACAGCAGTGACGCGACGCTCCTCTGAACAGCCGGCCCAGAGGACTCCACCACAGAAGGTAAAGTATAACAACAACAAAAAAACAGCGCAAGCATCGGCGCTATGCATCGGGCCATTTTGACAAGTACAAGTACTTGTCAAAATGCCCTGTATCGGGCCCGATTCCGATGCTAGCATCGGTATCGGGACATCCCTACTCTGCATATATCTTGATATAACATAATGTGGTTATTACATGTACATACTAACTATTATGGTATTAATGCCATGTACATTTTCATCAGACCTGTGATCGCATTAAACAATCTGCCAGTGGAACAAAGAGGCGCGTCTTCATCATTGAAACAATGGGTGGATATTGTGGATACCTGGCCAACATGGGTGGCCTTGCTGCAGGTGCTGATGCCGCTTATGTCTTCGAGGAGCAATTTGACATACGGGAGCTCCAGGTAATTACTTATATTCTATCTATAAAACACGCAGTTGCTTAAATCATGAAGTGTATTTTGAGGTAGTATGGGGAGGGGAAATCCAAAGTTGGCACCATAACAAGATCTTTCAGCGGACACTTCCTGAAGTGACATTCGTCTAAGGTGGAAATCCCCCTCACTTTGTAAAGATTTCCTCTATCTTTCTGCAGTGTGTGCAAGATAGGAAGTACAGCGAAATCTCTTCAGGAGGTCCACACCAGATGTGGACCTCCAGATTCAAGAAAATGAACAGATTTGTCTCCAGGAATAGGGATCCTCTAGAGGCGGCAATGGATACTCAGGTGTCTCCTTGGTATTAGATAGGGCTTTTAGCAGTTGCACAGTGGTTACTGCCAGATCATCAGGGTCTTCCATCCCAAGGTCCGATTTGCCATCCTGTTTCATGGTCACTGGCTTTAACAGCCCCCATTCTGAGGAATACAAGCATATCTAAATCTGTGATTCCCATAATCTTAAAAGCTTACTTCACTCAAGGTCTTGATGCAAGTCTAGTGCAATGGGGATTCCTTCTGGTCAAAGTTATTATTTTAAAAATGTGAAACCGTTTTAAATATCAAATCTTCAAATGATAAAATTGTATTTGTCATTTACCTAAACCTGCATATACACAGCCAGGAAAAACTGGAGTATGTAGGGCTTTATATCTTTGAACTTCCTCATAGTTATTTTAAAGATGGTCTCCATGGAAGATGACAATTCATGATTTGATAGGGTTCCTCTGTATGCTAGTAACATGGAAGGGATACCACCTTCTACAATGCCCTTGTAAACAACAAAGGTATCCCTATTCTGAAAGTTTGACCGGGAAAATATGGCAGCCGGAAATCTCTGTTTTTGGCCATTCTGGAAAACCAGCAAGTAGAACTGCTAATGTAATGTCTAAGTAGTACGTGGGAGGTGCTGGATTGAACCTTTCGCTTTTACCTGCTTTAATCTGCACTGGACTGGCCCATTAAGTTTCTTTATTATATCTGTATTATTATTTTATTTTGTAGGCAAATGTGGAACATTTGACTGAGAAGATGAAGACAACCATCCAGAGAGGCCTTGTACTAAGGTAAAGAAACCAGCAGCATAAAAACCTAGGACTGCAAATGTAAAAAATGTAGACAAGATGTTGTAGAAGGTAGTGGTCCATAATTGATACAAGAAGTCTGATTTAAAGGATGACTCCATAAAATTAAGATTTCTGTTACAGGCCAACTCTTTAGAGTAGAACCACCCATCAGCCTTTTATATTTCTGAGAGACTTCAGCAGAGAGATCACACTTTCATGGTTGCGGTTGCTTTGGCCCCTTTCCATACAGTCTCACTCTTATTTCTCCAGAGTGAGAATTTCAATCCTCCTGCTGCATTCTTTCTTATGTAAAAACTGTGTAAATGAAAACTACATCCAAAGTTACAGCTATAATATGATTTGATGCTATGGACAATACAGGCACTGCTAGTTTTTGTTAGAGAGACCCGTTGTATGTTCACTTTATAACAAATAACAAGATATACTTTTTACGTATCTTAGTTTTCGTGCTCACATGGAATAATATGTATGTTTTATTCACCAAGGAATGAAAACTGCAATGAGAACTACACCACGGATTTCATCTACCAGTTGTACTCCGAGGAAGGAAGAGGTGTCTTTGACTGCAGGAAGAATGTACTCGGACACATGCAACAGGTGCTGTACTATCAGAATGAATCATGCATCAGACAGAACTGAATGTGTGGAGCTGAGCTGAATCTCTTGCATACTTTCCTGAAAACATTTCATTTTTTTTACAGAAGATAGTAAACCTTTCATGACCTGAGGCCATTGATACCTAGATTAATATTTAGCAGCATCAGTTTGAGTCAGCTAATTTCACAACTCTACAGCAAAGTTGCATATAATGTATTATTCTAGGGACATCTAAGGCTTCTATTTTCATAAAACCCTGAGCCATGCTTTTAAAGTAGGCTGACAAATGTGCAAAAAAGTGTGTGTGGATATATATATATATATATATATATACAGTATATATATATACACATATATAAATATATATAAAATAATTTCGCATTTTTTTATAGTGTAATGGTGTCTTAACACTTTCACCTTCAGACTGCAGTGCCATTTGTAGGCTGAAGGATTATTTTGTCAATGAAGCCTTCAGCCTGCATGTGGCCCCCTAGGTCATTGCTGACAAAGTGAACACATAATCAGGAATTGAGATGTCAGTGACAGCTGAATTGGAGACCTAGCACCCGTGCAAAATATTGACTGCTAGCTCTTGAATTGAGGATATTTACTAATATATTCTTAGCATGGGGTATCGCCCTGAGGAGCATTAATATATAAAAAGTTTGCAGCAGTATGTCCCTTTGACGTGAGCCTATGAAAACAGAAATATGGAAGCTACTTTTATTGACTTAGTGAAAGGTTCAGGGGCTGTCATCCTAATCCTACTTCTCTATTAAAATGACGCTAAACTCAGGAGATAAATCTAAAAAATACATTCAAGTTCCTTAACTATTAACAAAAATTTATCTTATTTGTGTATCACTCAAATCATCTCTGAATTCCAGTTGACACTGTCCTTCCTTCTGGAGGGGGGATACTTTTGCTCCCAATGGTCCCTGTGTATGTTGTAAAGTAGCCATCGGTCCAAGCTCGCTCGCATTATGGACTATATTCTCAATACAAATTAGTTAACTAAACATCAGACTGTAATTTCATCACGGGAGTGAGCTTGGAGCGGTGACTACTTTACATCACACACAGGGCCCATGAGGAACCAAAGTAGCCACCCTCCAGAAGGAAGGACAGTGTCAGCACCAATACAGAGATGATTTCAGGATCTACAGCCGAGTGATACAGAAATAAGAGACATTTTTGTTCATAATTAAGGGACTTGAATACGTTTTTAAGATTTAACTCCGGAGTTTAGTGTCACTTTACGTGAGACACCTGGAACAGATATACAGCCAGTAAAGTTTGGAAAGCGTGAATTCCTATCCGGCATGCTTGTTCCAGGTGAGTGACACCTCATGTGACTTCACAGGCTGTAAACGGTAAACGCACACTGCGGCTTGTAATTATTATATCTAATTGTAAACTGATCAGTATGTAGTAGTTCAGGATGGGAGGATTTGAGTGTTGGTTTTATTCTTGCACTCCAATTCAGCAGTAGTGACACAGAATGTGTTGTTTACAGGGAGGAGCGCCATCACCATTTGACAGGAACTTCGGGACAAAGATTTCAGCCAAAGCCATTCAGTGGATTTCCCGGAAACTTAAAGAATGCTACAGAAAAGGTGGAGTGCAGTAGGTTTGATTAGCAGTAGGCTTCTATGCATATTCTTCAACCTTTCCGATAGGCACATTAAATTGCCTCACGTTACATTGTTATTGCCTTTATTTCGGAATGTCATTTTTTTTAAATCAGTTTTGCCCATATTGCTATCATAAAAATTAAAACGAATGCAAAAACATTTACACTTCTACGTTGGCATTTTCAAGATTAGTGCTAAGCACATACAGATGATCATCTCTGATGCTGCCTGATTTCCCTGTGCTTGAATGGCAACCACTTATAGCAGCTGTCACAATCACAGCTCTTCACCAGCGCTGGTGGTTGGAGTCCCGGATGTTGTTCTGAAACCAGAGCAGTGATGTGTCTGCTCTTCATCAGCGCTGGTGGTCAGTGATAGAAGTACATTGGTGGTCATTGATGAGAATGCTCCTTACATTGATGGTCAGTGATAGAAGTACACTGGTGGTCATTGATAAGAATGCTCCTTACATTGATGGTCAGTGATAGAAGTACATTGGTGGTCATTGATGAGAATGCTCTCTTTATTGGCCTTCAGTGGGAAGACCAGCCAGCGCTGGAGGTTGGAGTCCCGGATGTTGTTCTGAAACCAGAACAGTGATGTGCTTGCTCTTCACCAGCGCTGGTGGTCAGTGATAGAAGTACATTGGTGGTCATTGATGAGAATGCTCCTTACATTGATGGTCAGCGATAGAAGTACACTGGTGGTCATTGATGAGAATGCTCTCTTCATTGGCGGTCATTGGGAAGACCAGCCAGCGCTGGAGGTTGGAGTCCTGGATGTTGTTCTGAAACCAGAACAGTGATGTGCTTGCTCTTCACCAGCGCTGGTGGTCAGTGATAGAAGTACATTGGTGGTCATTGATGAGAATGCTCCTTACATTGATGGTCAGTGATAGAAGTACATTGGTGGTCATTGATGAGAATGCTCTCTTTATTGGCCTTCAGTGGGAAGACCAGCCAGCGCTGGAGGTTGGAGTCCCGGATGTTGTTCTGAAACCAGAACAGTGATGTGCTTGCTCTTCACCAGCGCTGGTGGTCAGTGATAGAAGTACATTGGTGGTCATTGATGAGAATGCTCCTTACATTGATGGTCAGCGATAGAAGTACACTGGTGGTCATTGATGAGAATGCTCTCTTCATTGGCGGTCATTGGGAAGACCAGCCAGCGCTGGAGGTTGGAGTCCTGGATGTTGTTCTGAAACCAGAACAGTGATGTGCTTGCTCTTCACCAGCGCTGGTGGTCAGTGATAGAAGTACATTGGTGGTCATTGATGAGAATGCTCCTTACATTGATGGTCAGTGATAGAAGTACATTGGTGGTCATTGATGAGAATGCTCCTTACATTGATGGTCCTGTGATAGAAGTACATTGGTGGTCATTGATGAGAATGCTCCTTACATTGATGGTCAGTGATAGAAGTACATTGGTGGTCATTGATGAGAATGCTGTCTTCATTGGCAGTCAGTGGGAAGACCAGCCAGTGCTGGAGGTTGGAGTCCCGGATGTTGTTCTGAAACCAGAGCGGTGATGTGCCTATCTGATGTGCCTGATTGTTGTCCAATGATTTAATGAAAGTTGTACTATCATTTCTTCTGAATATTCCTCTGTATTACTGTCTGAACCCACATTCAATATGTTGTGCTTTTACACTTTGCTTCCCGCCCATGTTTTCCAAGACTGCTTCGCACACATTGCATGCCACTGACTTCTAGATCTAGTAAAGTAATTAGCTAAATATACTTTCTTTTTTGCTTTCACATTGTCTTTACTTTGATGGCTACTCGGGATACTTAGAGGAAGGTAATGTTTCCTTATTTCTTGATGTAACTATAATCACATACATACTATCACTGCACAGTAATATACAGGAGGGGATTTATCAAAACTGGTGCAGACAGAATCCGGAGCAGTTGGCCATAGCAACCAATCAGGTTCTCTCTTCAGTTTGTTCAGTTAAACTTTTAAATGAAAGATAGAAGCTGATTGGCTGCCGTGCACAGCTGCTCCAGTTTTCATAAATCCCTCTTATAGTGTATAAAGTAAAATGGTACAACAATAAAATATCCCTTTATTTTAGTATGTTATATAAATCACCAATGTTCTCTTTACATAGACTCATATTATTAGATGAGCTTTAACCCACACCAACCAATCAGAAATCATTTTATATTGCTGTGACAAATCTGAACAGCTTTAACCTGGTATCTGATTGGTTGCTGATGTGTCCTGCACACATTTCTTTGCTCTTATTAGAGTGTCCAGTGGTATTACAATGCATATTATAGGTTAAAGTGTATGTATAGCCCAAACTTTTTAATTTTGGATAGAGCAGATAAGGGTTAAATCCCACCTCAGGTAATGTTTTTGCAGTCTGTATCCTGTTGGGGTGATTCCCTTTCACTTTCTGTCTTGAAGTTGAAAAAGAAGTGAGAGGAAGCCTACCCAAAGTGAAGGAGATTCCCATCTCAGACAGTTGTCACCAGAACAGGTGTCCCCGTTGGAAAGTTTCCCCTCACCTCTTGCTCCCATGACACCTCTAAACTGTAGGATTTCCCTTTTTCTTTCTGTGTCAGTGACAAGGGTCACCAGGACCAACAGGGGCAATAAAAACTTGGCAGAGGGTTTTACCTTTACATACTCTTTGAAGAATCCTTCATTTATCAGAGTGCTGAAGATGTGTTACCCATAACATTCAATAATCTTAGATTCTAATGCAGTAGTTGGAAGAGAGGAATGCAATGACTATGAGTAATAGGCACAGTTCTTGGATGGCCTTCCTGGCGCTGGTCGGTTTATTGCATGTTTGGATGTGACAGTTCTCGCTTTGTACACTTTGAAAAAAAAAAAGGTCCTTTATATATTGAATTATTATTGTTGGCTGTCCAACAATGGAAAGACAGTCCAGTTAACCGCCTTTAGGGCTCATTTACACTATGGGTGGTGACTGGTGTATTTCAGCGGCTGATTAACGGCAATCACCGCTAGTGAAAAAAATGTTTCCTATGTGCCCTGTTCACACTGCAGTGCAAGTGTAATGTGTGGTGCGCTGCCAAAAAAAAATGCATACATGGCAGCGCACTGGACCACACTGCAGCCCAGCACTCCGCACTGCAAAAAAGTAAACAGTGTGATACTCTGTAACAGCGCACCACACAACGCCCGGCCCCCCTGCTGGACCTGTCAAACTACATTACCTCAACCACTAAAATAAAGTGTTTAGTGGGTGGGATAGTGTGTGCGAGCCCTAGTCAACTGACAGTTTATAAAAGGCATTGGCATTGCTCCTCAGAGGCAGAAAAACAGCCATCTGCTGGTTATAAAGAGGTACTGCATTCCCTCCACACATGGCCCCCAGTGGATGAGATACATAGATAGATAGATAGATAGATAGATAGATAGATAGATAGATAGATAGATAGATGTGCAAGCATTTCTATTGATGTAGGTGCTTTGAAGCGGTCTGGCTCTGGAAAACATCAGATTGGATATTATGAGGCACTTAGGACATTTTATTAAACAAGGCTGGCCATCTTTAATTCCTGTTTCATAATGAACTGTTCTGTAATTCCACTGAGGGTTATGTTGACTCATATGCTGTACAGTAGATGTGTCAAGTCCTGTGTAGTGGTTGTGAGTGCTTAATATAGTAGTAGTAATATATAAGTGAGTGCTTAATCTAGTAGTAGTAATAGTAGTGGTAATATATAATAATAATGTTACCATTTTAATAATGAGCGCCACACTTACACATAAATGATCAGCCCTCCCACAGGAACATTTTCGCCTGTAATGGTACAGTAGTGACAATCCACAGAACTGTCAGAGTCGTAGTGATGGTAATGTCTTTTATGCAGCTCCTTCATGACGTTTTCTTTCTCTTGCAGGCAGAGTATTTGCTAACACGGAGGACAGCGTCTGTCTGCTAGGAATGCGCAGACGTGCTCTCGACTTCCAGCCAGTTATGCAGCTGAGGGATGAAACTGACTTCAAGTAAGTACCGAGAGCCAACTACATGCTAATGGACCAGTGTGGGATATCTAGGATTTTGCCAAATGTTTTAATTTTGCTCCTTGACCTCTTCATAAGAATTAAATAAAAAATGTTTTTGCTCGCAGGAGATTGGATGATGATTTGCACACACATTCTCATCTTATTTGCTAAGCTAAATGAACAGTTTCTATATTCATTTAATAAATCAGCTTAACTCAACTGACTGCAGCTTTGTTTTCATGGAGATCAGTGAGGTAGCATGTTGGCAGTTCTCACATTGATATCAGTTATAAAAAAAAGTTACAAAAAATGTACTTATTAATGGGATAAGCCCAATAATGTAATCAAACTGTATCAATGAATGAAGTGGTCTTAACAGAATGCTAATATGTGATTTCCCTCATGGCACTGTTTTTCCACATTACAGTAGGAAAGTTAACACTCAGCAAAACAGTTTGCTTGCAGTAGAAGCACTCACTGAAGTCAATCTGGATTAATTTATCACATGGACAGAATGTTTCCTAAGCCCGGTTAAACTGTTTTCAGTGAAACAGCCAATTATATGAAAGACAATCCCTATTTTTAAATTCCCCTGCACCTGATCATTTAAGTGACCATACACTATGTGACTACAAGTCTGTGGCTACATGACTTGACCTACATGAGTTAGTTGGACACTTAGTTCCACAGCCATGGGCATTAATGTAGAGTTGGCTCCTCCTTTGCAGGTATAATAGTCGTCTTAGAGAATGTCTGTGGGAGTCTGTGACTATTAAGCCAAAAGGGCATTTGTGAGGTCAGGTAATGATGTTCAACAAGAAGCCCTGGCTTTCTGTTGGTGTTCCAGTTCATCCCAAAGGCGTTCAGTAGAATTGAGATGAGGCACCTATGCAGACCTATGCAGGTCACTTGAGCTACTCCACCCCAAATAATCAAATTATGTATTTTTTTATGAACTGAATCTGGGCACAGTCAGGGCCGGATTTCCCACAAGGCCAACCAAGGCCCGACCTCGGGGCAGCAGGGAGTAGTGGGGCAGCAGGGGTGTGGAATTTCTATCTCTTGATGTCCGGGCCATGATGTTCTAGGTGCCGGGTGGGTAGTTGTTTTCTACATTTAGCCCTGCTTTGGGCAAGCAGAGCTAAATGTACAGCGGGGGAAGACGCTGCTTGTTCTGTACAAGTGATCTTGCTGATGTCACCGAGATCACTTGCATGCTGCCTGCAGTTTTGCCATTCTCCATGGGAGGGGGGTGGCAATTAGGGTTGGCACATTAAGGAACCTGGCCTTGAAGCAGCAGAGAGAATTCATCCGGCCCTGTGCACAGTCATACTGGGGGGAAAAAGGGGTCTTACCCAAACTGTTGCCACAAGGTTGGAAGCGCACAATTTTCCTAAATGTCTGTGTATGCTTTAGCATTGACAATACCCTTTAGTGAAAAAAACTGAACTCAAATATTTAGAAGTGCGTCCTCATACCTAGCATTGCTTTAACATGCTAAGTAAACATTTACCTCTTTTGGTAAGTCAGTCCCAAATAGTTCTGATAGAATCATAACATCCGAGTCTTCTCATTGGCATTAGAAAGTAGCAGGAAAGCGCACCTATCTGCACACTGTCCCAAGACATGTGAATTTATTTACATGGCTGATGTCTTCACTATGTCGCATTACTGTATCCAATGTAAAAATGCTTATTGTGCAGTCAGTGTTTTGTGTACAGAGCCGTTATAATGTGCAATCCCTCCTTTTATAACAGACACAGAATTCCAAAGGAGCAGTGGTGGCTGAAGCTGAGACCATTGATGAAGATCCTGGCCAAGTACAAGACCAGCTACGACATTTCAGACGCTGGAAAGCTAGAACACGTTCACGTTAGACGACCAAAAGAATGTGAAGTGGGGGCCATATAACAGCTGTGAGCCCCAACGGCATTCCTCTGTTCATAGCCTACCACCATCTCCATTGTGTGCTTTATCACCACCAGAATTCCCACACTTGTCTTCTGTAATTTAACTTGCATCGTTCTAGCACTTTATGTCCCCACAATGGGCCTCACCACTCAAGTCTGTATAACATGTGTCTGTCACTCCTGTAGCAGCCAAACCACTTCCCATTTCAGGCAGATTAGAAAATAAAAGAGAGAAATTGATTGGCTGCTATAGAAAGCCCTTTCAAATATTATCAGTCACATGTTTCAATACCCTTCTGAGGTCTTGACTGAACCCTAGGAATGTGTCTTTACAAAATCCAGTATAGAGGAAAGTCTATGAGAATTATATCATCACTGAGCTCGTGTTTTTTTTTTTTTTATTTGCGAATATTTAGGCCACTGTTGTGAATGGGTTACAATGTTGGCATTTGTTTGTCGTGTCGTGTGTAATTTAAGTTATACATTCATTACACTTTGTATCAGAGATGTTATAAGTACACCTTTATAGAGATATATATAGATATATATATATGTGCAACTTCTATTTTTTTTCCCCTCAGTGACACAAGAAATGGTGCATTGATGAAATGGAATAATAAAGTACAGTTTGCAAACCAAAAGCTGAATCCGTGGATAAAATGACAAAGCATAACTTGATTTTCAATGGAAGTCTACATTTGTTGTAGCTGCAAAACACTGCAGAGCTATGCTAGTTAACGTTTTTTTGTTTTTGTTTTAAAGCCTTATAGACTCTGGACCATATATAGGGCAGACAAATATTATCAACCTAGTGGAAAAGTCAATTTTCCTGAGCCATGCACTGCAAGATGCAGGACAGTTTATCACATTACTAGTGTGCAGCATGAAGTTGGAACATAGCAGCATTCACCGAAGTCTTATCAGGCAGGTATTCCTATTCCATCTGAGGATGGCAACTTCCGGCTTTACATTCTCCTTGCACTGCCTTCACTGCTATCAGTGAGGATGTGGGGACAGGTCATTTAGAAGCCCCACAGGCAGAGTAGATGCTTTCTCTCATGACAGATTGACTTTGAAATAATTGCAGTATATCCTGGATAACATTAGAAGATACTGAAAGTGACACTAAACTCAGAAGTAAAATCTTAAAAATGCATTCAAGTACCTTATCTATCATCTGTGACTTGGTGCTGACACTGTCCTTCCTTCTGGAGGGGGGCTACTTTTGTTCCCCATGGTCCCTGTATGTGTTGTAAAGTAGCCACCACTCCAAGCTCACTCTCAGGATAGACTACAATCGATACAAATTAGTAAACTGAATGTGAGATTGTAGTCCATCATAGGAGTGAGCTTGGAGCGGTGGCTACTTTACAACACACACAGGGACCATGGGGAACAAAAGTAGACACCCTCCAGAAGGAAGGACAGTGTCGGCACCAATTCAGAGATGAGTTGAGGATCTACAGCCGAGTGATACACAAATAAACTACTCCTAATTCGTTAATAGATAGGGAACTTGAATGCATTTTTAAGGTTTAACGCCTGAGTTTAGTGTCACTTTAACCTGTTCTGAGGTCCCTCAATTTCCATGCTTTACAATAATTTAGTGGAAAGATAAATGTACCTTAATGAGCGCTTTTCTTTGACACAAACTTCAGCAGTTCTTGATGAGTTCTCACTTGTATAAGAAAGATCTGACTGTATTAAGAAGCCATGTTTGAGCAGTGTCAGAAAACAGTAACCAAATAATAAGCGGGACGTGTTTTTAAATGGCTGCTAGGGATCAAAAGTCCCTTTAAAAATCAGTTCTTCCACATCTGACTGTTAGGGTTGTGAGGCTGCAGGTTGGCACCAGGGCTCTATGTTGCATTAAAAAGAAAAAGCTCACTGTGTATATGCCACTGCCACATCTCAGTCATCTATAACAACCACTGAGGTGGACGTGAATCCTGGAAGTGGGTGGGATATATTAGGCAACAAAGTTACTGAAGTTGATGTGTTGGAAGCAGAAAAAAAAATGGGAAAGCGTAAGAATTTTAGCGACTGACAAAGGCCAAATTGTGATGGCCGACGACTGGGTCAGAGCAACTGCGAAACTGCCACTCGTGTGTTATGTTCCCGGTCTGCAGTGGTCAGGACTAGATGTGCACTGAAATGACAAAAAAAGTCATGCCGAAACCGAAACTCTTTTTTCTCCCTAACATTTTCAATTTTTTTTTATTTTTACTTTACTGTCGGGGGCTCTGGCTGGGGAAATATTAGGGGGCTAAACAGACCCCTGATATTTCCTTTGTAAAATAGAAAAAGAGATTGGAGGACACAGAGCCTTCAATCTCTTTTTCTGCAGCCCATGTTATAAATGAGCAGGAATCCTCTATACTGAGTGTTCTTGTTCATTCATAACTTGTGGAGAGAGTATGTTTACCATGTCTACAATCATCAATGTACAGGAAGTGATGTCGATCACTCCCATTCATTCATATTTGGGCACACAGTAAACATGCCGTCTTCAATTTTTTACACTCAGCGATCACTGACTGCTTGTACCCGCTCTCAATTCTGACACACTCACAGGAGAGGAGAGCTGATCTCCTCTGACAGCTGACTCCTCCTCCGGGAGCACCACCAGCCCAGCCTCCTGTGACAGCGGTCTCCGCCCCCACACCACCACTCTCCTAATCTGTCACAGGAGGCTGAGCAGTGCAGGAGGAGAGACACCGGCTGCTCACATCGCTCTCTCCCCCTGCACTGCTCGGCCTCCTGTGACCGTTTATTTCCTCCGTGCTGGACGCTGCGCTATCATTGGGGACACAGCGGGCAGGTGAGAAACTATGGATGCACCGCTATTTCGGCCAGAAGATGGCACTTTTGGCATTTGTTCTCCAGTAACACAGCTTCAGCACCTACTATGCTCCTGCAGACTCCAACACAATCACCCCTTCTATCCCTCCTGCAGACTCGGAGCAGCTCCCCCACATACCCACCACCACTACTGACCTTCCTTAACACCTTTCCTCACCCATCCTGACATCTAAACAACATCCAGCTGCTCACTTCCCTGCACACAAATCCCTCCTAATCAAAACTATCAACGCCTGACAGTCTTCTCTCTCCTGGCAGTAGCTCTGGGCAATGCACTACTTTCCCATCCGCACACAATGTATACCATCTCAGCAGCAGCTGGCAGTAGAGATACTGCCTCTGGGTTCTAAAGCCAGTACTGTAGACCGGGCTGTCCCCAGCTTACGTTGTTGCCTCTGTGCATGCCACTGTTTAGTGGCTACTGTAGCTCAAGGGGCCATTGAGTTACTCATTCAAACCCAACTCTCAGTTGTCGATTTCCTAGACACTCTTCTCCTACACATTCTCTTCACCTTCCTACAATCCGTACTCCTCTGCCTGCACATACTGCCAGTCATCATACATTGCACTCCTGCATGTACTGCCTGCCATCATATTCTCATTTCTTTCTTACACATATTGCATTCCGCCATCACTTCTACACGCAATACTCACCATCATACCCTATGCACACCTTTCCTACACAGCATCATACTGTTCTGCATTCCTTTCCAGTACATACTGTCACACACTCCAATCAAGCACATACAGTCATACCCTTCATACTTCTCTCCTATGCCCTATGTCCACTCTCATACCCCTCCTGCATCTACTGCTCACCATCATACCCTGTGTATTCCTCTCGTGTACATACTAACCACTCTCATCCCCTCCACATTCCCCTTCTGCATCTACTGCTCACCATCATACCGTGTATTCCTCTCGTGTACATACTAACCACTCTCATCCCCTCCACATTCCCCTTCTGCATCTACTGCTCACCATCATACCCTGTGTATTCCTCTCGTGTACATACTAACCACTCTCATCCCCTCCACATTCCATACCATTCCCACTCTATGCAGCTTATATACTAAAACAGTTCAATATAAATCGCAAATACTCCAATGTTGCCCATTGTGGAGAAGGCCCATTCTTGCTAGTTTTATTAATATATCACGTATGTCAATCACATTATTGTAGTGCTGCTATTTGTGTTTTTTTCTGCTATGGATAAACTGCCAACTGTTTATTGCTGCAGCAGCCAATCTCTTAAGGTCCACATAGGTGTGGCGATGTGCAATTACCAGTCAGATATCTTCAACATTCTGCTCACAGTATGCTGCTACACCTGAATAGGTTATAGAAATACAACATAGGCCTTTCCACTACAGAGTTAAAAAGCTACACAAACACCACATTCATAGAGACCACATCATAGGTTTTTATTTGTTATTATTTGGCATCGCATTAAAAGGAAAACTCCAGTTTTGTTGATAAATCAATGTACTGCTACAGAAGTCACTGTTTAGGTCAATGGTCCCCTTCCATTTCTGTCTGCAGTCAGCCATCATTTTCTATTCTATTCTTTTTAAATCTGACTTCTTGGCAACTTTGCTCAGTTTGTATAAAATACTTCCTGGAATGCTCAACCCCTTGCTCTTATAACTGGTCACCGATGTTTCCAGTCTACATACTGCAGGTCACAATATAGGCATCAGATACTTGCAAATATTGCTTTTGGGATGTGATGCATCTTATCATAACCTGGGCCCGATCATGTGATAGTATTGTATTCACAATGCACTGGCATAGCCTATCACAATTCTTACAGAACAGAAGCCGTTAAGGATCCACAGCAAAGTTTGATCAAATCTTTGCCATAGATACAAACACATGGACACGGAGGGAAACTTTTATTTTTCTTAACAAAAGTGGAGTTTTGCTTTAAAATGTTAGACTTTAAAAAATACAATATCTAAAGGACTCAATATAAGCACTTATAAATAAATATCCTTAAAAAGGACTAGTAAGCTTTAGACATTTTATCGCTCTGATCTTCTTATTGAAGAATAACCTCATCTAATAATCCAAGATGGATCTTTCGCAATGCCCGGGTTTTTGGGCCCAAGAACAGCACTTCCACGGGTGGACTGTCCCACTGCTAGATACCTGCAAGAGGTGATATATATATATATATATATATATTAGTATTCCAGTGGTGATCATGAAACAATTGCACATAGGTAGAACTTTCAGATGATAAAATATACAGCTGCACTCCAGGCAAACAGCTAAATAAAGAGCTAAAATACATAAACGGGAGACGTTTCAACCTGCCAAAGAATCTGGAATTCTGTCAAGCCATATTTGTGATACATCTGCAAGAGGGTTTAGGACTTATACTGCAGGTCTAGTATATCTACATCTATCCATCTATCTATATCTACATCTACAGTATATCTACAGCCAAAATTGTTTTTTTAATGGTTTATTGGAATAGTTTGAACCCCTATAATTTGTAATTCAGGTCTGAACTTCAACTAAAACAAATCAGCAACATAAAAGGGGCTTAAACCCATACAGTGTATCAATCTGTCAACAGAACCATAAAATATATAGAGAGAAAGCACACCACAAGCAGAAAATACTAATTTGTATACTCCCCCTTGTTCACTCCTCTACTCCGTAAGCTCCCAGTATTAGACAGCACTGTGCAAAGCAGCAGAGTCATACTTGGTTCCCAGTGCTGCCCTTGTCCTCTACTACCCTGCATCCTGCTATGCAGAGAAAGTAAAGACTTCACAAACACAACAGTTCCTCACATTTTCCAGGGCCCTTCAATGTGCATAGAAATAGTTAATAAGAATATATTTTAGTTCAGAAGATCTCAGCTTCACCAAGACACAGATTTCCACATAGTAGTCCTAAAGGGTAACTGCAGTAAGGGGCGCTTCACACCACAAAGAATGCGTTCCAGTGCCTCTGGAACGCAAACCGGCCCAGCTCCCTGCGTTTAGGGGCAGGAGGGGCCGTCAATGGCACCGCAGCTGCGCCCCCCGCCCACAGTGTATCGTCAGCACCTGAACGCGTGCTGCATGCACTATTTTTGCAGATCGCGCTGGACCGGAACGCAGGCACTAATGTGCCATTCTTTGTGGTGTGAACCGGCCCTAAAAGGATACTGGGGCCCTATACTTCTGTGCCATATCCAGTCTGGTTTAAGGATGAGCAGCACTACTACGGACCCTTTGCCGGATACACTACAGATACATTATAGAAAAAACTCATTTAAAACCAAGCCTGGTGTACTGGAAATTGTATGTATAATCCCCTGTTGTTCTCCAGTGCACTCTGCCTTACGGCTCACCGAGTGTTCACAAGACAGCGGATACAATATATGCGAAGTGTAAAAAAGGACCACGGGTTTAATTATTCCTATCCGAATTCCTCTTCAGGGGTCCAGTAAGGGACGTGTAAAGATCTGATCAGGAATGACACTGGGACAATTATTTATAAGAACTAACTTACCTGCTGGCAACATTAACCAGGTCTGTGTGGCTGACAGCAAACAGCTGTTCTCTGTGCTTCTGCTTCATCTCATCACTTATACCACTGAGAAACAGAGTCATGCCTGAAATAAATCAGAAAAAGAAAGAAATAGCTCAAAGGATTCTGGGAACATGTGACATTCTTACATTGCACATTCAAAAGAGAAAACATTTGAAGGTGAGCCTATACCATTAACGTCCACACAAGTCATCATTGCCAAATAACATGGTTTTGGGTTTGATCTACTTCCAAGAATAAAAAATAAATAAAAATGGAAATGACAATCTCATTCAGGAGACCTAAAGACTAGGAAGCTGTGATCATATGGTCACTTATCATTTGAAGTAGAGCTAAAGCCATTTTTTTTTTTAGTTTTAGAGTGAGGGATTATAACACCCATCGGGTCTGTCTTCATTAGGGAGATTCACCCTCTCTATTGGTCTTGGTGATCATATCAAAAAATCCAACACTTGAGGTGACACCAGAACAGGAATACAGGGGAAATAATCTACTGGGGACACTAGTTCTGGTGACAACCAGGGGTTTCCCTCACTTTGGAGGAAGTGAATCTCCCTAATGGGAGACGGATGGCAAAATAAACTGACGGGTTATAACTTACCTTACCTCGGTCCAAAATATTTAAATAATTACTTTAAGGTGTTTTAGTTCATTAGAAACAGGTAGACTATTGTTTGTGTCTGTCGAATAGATTTTGCAGTCCTGGCACAATCTTTGTGCACCACTACTAAACAGGGCGAACATTACATATGGCTCCCTACAGACAAAGGGGGTAACAGGTGGGCAGAGCTTAGCATAAGTCAAGTCCTTAGCAATAATGTAAAACCAGTTATAAAATAGGTGCACAGAGAACATTTTTTCTGACTTAGAATGGGATCCTGTAGGGTCCGATCATAGAAAGCACATGAACTTTTAGAAGTTAAAAAATGGTTGACGGGTTACTTTAAAAAGGAGAACTATGAGGTGAGTGATTTTCACTCATCCTCATAGTTCTAGCCGACCTGTGACAATCACACTGTCACAGGTCGACTCAGTAGATCGGGAGGTGAGCGAACACATACCGGCGTTCGCTCACTTCTTGATCCTGTCACTGCAGAGAGCCGTGACAGAGGAGGGACTGGATTCCCCCTTCCCCTGTCCAATCCTCCAGCGCTGACTGGCGGAACGGACGGGGGAGAGGGCGGGTACAGCTGGCTCTGCCTCTGGATAGGCAGAGCCAGATGTCACTCACGCAGCTGGGTGGATCCAGACATAATTGTCAGGATCCGTTTCAGCTGCGGCGTCTCAGTATACCGCGAGCTGTAGCTCGCAGTATACTGAGCTTTGGGTGACAGGGCAACGCTAGTTTGTGTCCTCCCGTTACCCTAAGGAGAACTATGGTGGAAAGCCCTAACCCTATAGTTTTCCTTTAAACAGTGAAAGCTCAAAGTACCTTTGTCTGAAGGTGCAATAGGTGAATCCACTGCCGAAAACACAGAGAGTTTGGCTTCATCTATATCCTGCTGGCTGAACTTTCCAGACTTCGCCCAGTCTATTGCCTTATCAAACCTGGACATTGTCGACAATGAATTTGGATCCCTAAAAGTATAACATGTTTAGCTCTGGTTTCCAGAAACAGAAAATCTATTTAACAAAGTATCATGCTAAGAAACAAACGTCTTCTCACCGATAGGAATAGAAGGTAAAAATGCCATCAAAATTGAGCTTGGCGCCTCCACCATAAGCTCCTCCTTTTTCCCGAATCTCACCATGGAGAAACTTAGCGGTCATGACCCGCGCCAGTATGCGAAGGCTAAGGGGAAAAATAAAAAAGATTGTTTCTAGCAGTAAAATAAAATCTGAAAAAGAAAGGAATAGTTTTTTCCAGCATCTCCCAAGGTCACTAAAACGTCATATTTTTTACATTTCAAGGGAGAAGCACAATTCACAATAAGGACTGGTGTTGGTGGTGGAAACAATAGTAAGAAATAATAATAGGACATGCTACATGATGGGGGCCACATGAGTACATTTGGAAAGGAGGGGCGTTATTGCCCAATCCTCTCTCCCTTTTCCAAATGATGTAATGTTTGTGTCACTAGTTCAATTCCTCCAATTTGGATGGAGTCTCCGTGTTCTACTCATTGGACTTGCTTTAAACATTGTCTCCTGAATGTCTGAATTTACTCCTACAATCTGAAGACATATTGCTCTGGCTTCTAAATAAATTTGCCCCAGTGTGCATCTGTATGACTGTATCAGAGACATAAGACCTTGGGGATGATTCCAGATACTCTGAACCATTGTGGGATACATTAGCGGCATATCCAAATGGGACACACATAGTGTAATAAACCTCTAGTACCTAATCCAATATTTAGGAAACAACCAGAAATGTATAGATGGATGGGTCACATTTTATGTATTGCTCTAACTAGTGAGGTAACATGAAGCTGACCATACACTGCTATGTGTGGCCCAGCTGACACAACCCGACATTTGTCCAAGGAGCCGGGTGGAAAAATTGTCAGCCAAACAATCAATGAGCGGCCGTCACTGTTCGTGTATTGAGACAGCGGTGGCTGCCGGAACACAATAGCCTGACAGGGGAGATTCCTCCATTCATGCTAAACGGCAGGGAGAATCTGGTCATTTTCTTTTGCTCAGTCTGCAGGCTAAAGGAAAAAAATGTCATAAGTGTATGGTCAGATTTAGTAAACCCTCAGACACTGAGAGAAGGGAGACAGTGAAGGCTTTTACCTGGCATAGTCTGAATGACTGTATGGTACAGCTCGTACACATTCACCAATATAGTTTACTGGAAATGGTAAAGAGAAGTGTGTCTTCATCTGGCAAGGCTTGAAAGTAGGGTCCTAAGATAAAAAAACAAGACATGAAGCATACATAACAATGATAACATATGCTGAGACTGATTGTGACTGTGTGTGAACTTGTACTAAACTAGCTTGGTACACACTAGTACTGGACAGAGACGTACACCCAGTTCCTGAGTAAAAATAAAACTGTCTGGGGTCACATCTAACATTCTCCCTGGTGGGCCAGGTGAAAGGAATTGGACTGTAGCAAAGGCATCTGAAAAATATATTCCTCCTCCTGAGGCTCACACTGGACATACAAACTCACATCTTATACTTTGCCCAGTCATACTTTTTCTGATGCTGGTAATACAGGAACAATTATTGTAGAACATTCACTGCTCAATTGTCATTCCAACCTTTAGAAATCACACATTGGATAAGCATACAGGAATCTGCAGAGAATGCAAGTCCCATCAACTAGGCAAAGGACAACTTAGACTGTATTACGTACACGGACCAGCTTTCTGGAGCATTTCGCTGAAACTTCATTTCCACACGTTGATGGGTTTAAGGATTTCTAGAGAATGAAACAGACAAACCATCATCATTACTGTTGTTCTACTATAGGTGCATGCAGAAATGTATAATCGTGTGTTACTTAGCTGAAGTCCATTACCTGTGATGTTATATAATTTACATGAGCTGACCACAGCAAACATAAGAATAGAGAAGTGGAAAACACAAAAGAGCTCTATTACAGTATAAGAAGCAAAAAGGTGTAAAAGGAAATGATTTTCCACATGAGGTTAAAGGATACCTGTCTGGATAAAAACATGGGAGCAGCCACATCTACCTTGGTTTTGTAGAAGCTCGGGAGCAGGTACCTTCTTCATTGCTACACTACAGTAATTGACCCAGAATACGTCTACAATAGAAGTGCGTACACCACTATACATCAGTAAAATCAGGACTCCCACCCTGTATTCTTGCTCCATGTCAGTAATTTATAAGCAGCACAGCAAGGGCTAGCCCTGGAGCTTGCATCTTTAAATGCCAAGTCAGAATTGGCAAAATCCATATTTATATTTTGACAGGCTCTCTAAAAAAAGAAAAAAGGAAGCCAAAAGGAAGAAAAAAAAAGGAAGAAGAAAGGAGCCGTGGTATCAGCCAGATCAGTAATAAAATACTAAAAAATAACCCTAGTATGCAATATATGGGTCCAGTAGATTCTAGTATACTTAATACTTTACTGCAACTTTGGAGTGCTTTTGAGGACATGAGCCCTAAGCCTTGTACTGAGCCCCAAAAGAGCACGGCATAGCCTGCTGCTTAGCATCTGCCCCCTTGGGGGTTGGGCTAATACCCCAGTAATCTGCTTGCTCCACCAATCAATGTTCTGAGAAAGCATGCATTGTGTACTATACATTTCACTATACACAAATCCAATACAGTACAAGAGGGTTGAAGGCCCCTCATTTGAGGGATTACAATATAAAAGTAAGGGGTATATTGTAAGCCCTCAAAAGGAAGAGCCTTCAACCCTCTTGTACGGTCTTCTCTTTATTTTGTAAAGCTCTGCACAAGATGTTGGTGCTATATAAATCCTGTAAATAAATGATAATAAAATACCTCAACAATATGAGGTCGGATAGCTTTGCGTTCTTTTTTATTCCTGTGAATTCCTGCCAAAAAATGCTCCACCTCCTTCGAAGCTGCTGTCATCTGCTGTGGGGTGGCATTCAGGGAACATCTGTTGGACAGAAAATGAATAGTAATGGATATAAGCAACTATAATGCTACCTGTACTCTATAGCAGAGGTTAACTCAGATGCGCTGAATTTCTTACCGATACCATCAGTGGAATTTCCCTATCTGAGCTTTTGGTGTTGCCATAGAATGTCACTTCTACAGCCTTCTCCAGACCATAATAAAAGGAGAAAAATCAAACTGGAAGGGCTCAGCCCCTTTATAGCAGATGTGGGATGTTATCTGTAGTTCTCATTCAGAAACCCAGAGAGCTGCAGGCAATTTGAGCATTGAAAGATGGTAACCTTTTGGGGGGCTGTTCTTTTAAAAAGATAACTGCAGTTTTTACTTTCTGGCAAAGCAGTTATAACATATTTAGAGGGCATGTATGAAAAAGCAGTGTCACAAGACCCATCCTTGAAGCAGGGTGTGCTTTTAGGCAGAGCCATATCGGCTAGTTTTCTGACATACAACAGGGAGAGAACAGATATCATACTGTGATAGTGTCCATTTACATTTTTACCTTATGCTATCACTCAACAGTAAGTATTTGCGAATCCGTGACAGCTTTCGCAGTATTGATCCCAAATCAGGCATCTCTGCTATCCGTTTCATCATTCTGACCTATATTAAGAACATTGCATATGGTAAATTGTAGCATTTCAATCTAATGCAATAATAAACGCTGATCAAAATAAAAATTATACACTTAAAGTGGGCCTTTACCCCCTTTCACTAAAAATCACATCAGCATGCAAATATGCATGCTGATATGAAATCATCTTACATTCATTAACCAAAAAGACTTATATTTATTTTTTCCCCACTTCCTGGTCCACTTTGGCACAAATGATGTAATGTGCCCAAGCGTGGCATCCTGGGAACATTACATTAGCAGAGCCTTGCTGGGAAATCTCATGAGATCTCAAGGAAAGGCATTTTACTACACTGAGATGATGTGCATGGCCACATGTCCTGGTCACATGTGCCAGAGTTCCAGGAAGTAAAGGGAGATCTAGTAATCTGCCCTTAGTAAAAATGGCCACTGCGAGAAGACCGGGGAAGAAAAGAAAAATAAGGAATGCAAAGAACACAAAAGCTGGCAATTATCTAAAAGTATCTGTTTGTAGATTGTCATTACTAAACATTTCTAAAGGTGTGCTTGTTGTTATTTCAAATGTATGGGTAGAGTTCCTCTTTAACACTACACAATGTTGAAGACAATCCCTTTCTCTGTGATTTTGTCCATGGGCATGGCACCTGCAAGCATGTTGGCTACAAGAACAATATTTCCCATGTGACTGCACCAGTAAAAACCCTTTATTCATTGATCATCTGAAATGTGTAGCTGGTAGGCTACTGAAATACAAGGAATACAAAGGGTGTGAATCTAACGGCTGTCTGGAGATAAACCTGCTTATTCTCAGTATGTACATGACTCACGGAAACCTTTCTGAAGTCAGAGATAGATCATATTCACTTAGAAGACACTCTACAGATCTTCTAGTAGAAGAAAAACCCCATCCCCAAGAAAAACTAAAAGTCAAAAAAGGGAAGAAAAAAAAGCAAAAGCAAACAATCCCATTGTGCTGTGCTCCCCAGGGAAAGGAATAAACAATGAATGCTTTTGCATCTCTGTGTTCGTCCTTAAAGCACATACATTGTAAAGGCCTACAGTCTCAATGTGGTTGCCATAAAGGCCTCTAGACTCCGTGTGGGTGCAGTTAAAGGTCTCCATACCTGATCCATTCCTTTGAAGAGCTCTTGCAGTTCTCCAGCTGGTGTGAGTGTTCTGCTCGCACGGATTTGTGCATACAGGTGTCCAGAATCTGGTATTCCATTGGACATATCCTGAGCAATCATTTTCATCAAAACCCGCAGTCGCTCTTCATCATCAAAATGAGGACTAAAAAATATGAAAAAAGGTACAAAATGAAACCAAGACTACGTTCCCAGGAATATTGCATGTAGAAGAGCTCTGCAGGCATTGTCTGAGCCGATGAGGTTTTCACATCAGTAGAAATGAATAAGATATAATAAGCTGAGCCTAAGCATTGCATGCAATGTTGTACATAGCAAGAAGCAATGTCTGAAGAATAAAGTGTAGTGCTGTGTTTTTCAGCTTATTTTACCATTTCAGAAAACCATGGCTGATATCTTGCTGCTAACCGGAGATATGCAAATTAACCTACTAATGCCCACCCATAGTGAAAAAATATAATTTTGGTTAAATCTACCTTTTAAAAACAGTTTTTCCAAAATAAATGTATTTGTATAATCATGGAGGATGTGTGCTAAAGTGGTGTGACCTGACCTAAAAAACTCAGAGTGGAGAAAAGTCACTAGCACTCTTTGTTTTGCCTGAGGAAGAGACCATGTGGTTCTGAAATGTCGCTTTGAATGATGTGACACTATAGCAGTCAATAAACATTGACTAGAATTCATGCTGGAGTACTAGTGACTTCTCTCTACTCGGATTTGATCTGTGGAGGCATCTGCTGTCATTTTAGCACCCACCCGATTTTCCAAGGTTTTGATCCAGTGAGGCGTGCGATGGGTCCCACATGTAAGTATAACAACCTTACCAACACGTCACAGGAAAGTGACAGGAAAAAGGTAATAAGGCAAATGGACACATCGATCTCACTTTCTGAACACAGATCATTTTTGGGCTCTATGCAATACCGGACCACCATGGCTGAAAGTAATAATGCCTCCTGCCATTTCATGCTTCATACCTGTTAAATATCTCACTCCACAAATGCATCATGTCAGGAGTATTCCTGTCCAAGCAAGATGATGAAAACAGCACACCCTAGTGGAAAAAGGGAAACAGTCAACCTGAATAAGAACTTCAAGGGAAGCAAAAAAAATCCAAACAGGTCTGCATTGTGTTTTCTAGTTCACCTGTTGGCCGTGTGCATTACTGAGAGAGTCTCTATTCATGCTCTGCTGCCTGCACCTAACGAGATTTTAGCATGCTAGAGCACAGCACTGCCCTTGGGATCTCTGGCTCATCACTACTTCCATCAAGGAGGAGACAGACTTCTAAAGTGGTAAATTGTGCATTGCAACTGAATTGTTGCATGTCCAAGCACAATGGGAATGAGTCCAGAAGCATACAATCTAAAACTCATATAAAAACTTAAATCAAAAGCATGAACAATAAGTATCACCTAAATAGTACTATTAATAAGTAAACACTTACAGCCATGTACCTGAATGAAGCGCACACTGATTAAATAAGTTCACCCAACTAAATTACCCACCGCCTTCTTCCACCTCTTTCAGAGGCTTCAAAAAGTGGCTTTAACTGCTACAGCCCATATGGAAAGGCCCAGGCAATCTCAGTTTCATGGCTTCCATTGATTTTATATTGAAAATATAGCTGGAAGAGTGAACCTTCCTTGCCTGAGATAATGATAGCAGTAGTGGTGAGAGTAAGCATTATTAATGTGTACCAAACAAAAGATGTGATGAAAGCTAAAGTAAGGTCACAGGGGTTCTTATGAAGGAACCCCAAATCTGAGAGACTTAATATTCAAATTTTCAGCTTTGTGCTCTGATGTCAGATCTGGAATTGCCCTTCCTCCCCCTTCCTACACTCAATGTAAAACCTCTCAGAGAAGCACAGTGCCATGTACTGAGGAATGCAGGATGGCGGAGCTCTGACTGCAGTGCGGAAGATTATCTGTATATTGAAAACTCCAGGATTGGGGGCTCCTGTGAGGTTTGAAAAGAAAAGGGCACACATTAAATTTTTTTTATCTCTTTTGTTGTCTAATGTCAACACAGGATTGCGTTAATACGTTGCTGCTAGAATTTCCACATGATAAACCCGCTGACATATTACAACATCTGACATAACCACACTGGGTAAACTGAGCTTTAAAGTAAACCTACCCCCACTGTAAAGCTTTAAAAGGAAGACCGTGTGCAAGAAGTCAAGCTGCCTTTCCTCTCTAAACATCCCTGGCAACTCCAAAACCCATTATTCAAAGAGCGGCTTTCAGCTACCAGTCAGAGCTGTGGAATGCCAGTGGAGAAAAAATGCTTCAGTCTGCAGTCAGAGGTTCAGGGGCTCCTGGGGCCCTCAAGAGAAGACCAGAAAAAAAAAATACATCTATGCACCTGCTTGTTGACTTTACAGCTTACTTCCTGTAGTCAGGGGAAGAAAAAAAAAGTATGATTTATTGCTGCGTGAGCTTTATTTAAGTAAATTCACCTGTTCATACGTGTCCAGATTGGAGTCGTCTGGTGCAATGTGTGGACAGACGCCCATACCTCCAGTAGTCAACTCCATCTGCTGGGCCTGCTCTCTGTAATTGTACACACCACAGCCCATCCTGCAAAAAAACAGATGAATCAGTCACCAAAGAATAAATGGATTAACTGAGAACAATAGAAAAACTGCGGCATCCTTTCACCACAGCATACAACTAAAGTGTATTGATACTTCTTATACATGATAAGCAAGTCTCCAAAGAAAATGGAGTTCACTCCCTGTGCAGGGCAAAAAGCTCATAAAGATGAGTGATAACCTTCTCCTTATCCAAATGTCCATAATTTAAAGAGGCGGGGTATATAGTCCAGAGGTCTGCTGTGTCAACCAATGACTGCTCAGAGAAAGACTGTATTTATGCCATTTACTCAGTGAAATAATCCACACTTAAACATTGGCAATCCTGAAATTTCTAGTCACATGCGAGACAAAAGTATGACCTTATGTTGATGTAAAAGGAGATTATAATTAAGATGATCAAAATTAAAAAAAAATATTTCATAATGAGAATGTATTGAGTGTTACACATATGCACATATACGCTTGCGAGTCAGTAACTCACTATGTAATAGAAAAAGGATCAGCTTCCAGCCACAGAGACTGCAGCTTCAATAAAAAAAAAAAAAAATGGGCCAACACTGCCCATATTTCTATTCCGAGAGGTTCCCTTAAATTGAGAATCTTCTGAATGTTTAATTCTTCATACAATAACTTCCGGCTTCCCCTCTCTAAAGCCACCCTAAATATGATCAGCACAACTACTCAAAAAGCTTCACATGAACATAGCAAGCATGTCATATAAAGATCAACTTAACTTCATAAGACACTCAAACGGTGACTTGACCTAAAGACACTTACTTGGTGACAACAGAGCAGAAGAGGGGCACATAAGGCTTTAGCTCTTCAGGAAGTGTGTTCAGGCTTGAGACGGCTCGGAAATACACCATGCCATTTGTCGGCTGAGCACAGTACTGGACAGGAACCTCACCTGTGGGATAAAAACATGTTTCACAGAAAGAAAAGCAAACCAAAATCCAGACCACACTAGGCAGATTTGCAGACGGTCAATACCTGAGAGTATCAGCCAATCTGCCTAGAACTAAGTCACTTCTGTTATTTTCAATCTACTGAAAAAAAGAGGGATTCCGGTTTCAGCAAATTACAGCCTTCAGCACAACAACTTGCACAGAAGAGCTGAGAGCTGCGGGAAGTCTGACTTCCTATCTGGAAGCAGATATGTCAAAATGGACTGGTTGTTGCCCCTGCTGTAAACAACATTTCTTATCAGCACAACTGATTTCCATCTCACAGGACACCCAAGAAAAAAAAAAGGGGGGTTAAGCTGGCCATACACATTTGTTTTGTTTTTTTCTAGTCAAGGTTGTGGGCTAAAACTGCTCAATTCCCTATCCAAGCTAAACAGAGTGAAAGGAGGAATCTGTTCGGCCAACAATTTTTCACACATCTCCTATTTGGTTTAATTTGTTGAGCTGACTGGGGCCGACGGGGCCACCTACATCTCAAATTTTGGCCGATTTGCAGGGATTGCCTGAAAATTGAGCAGTGTATGGCCAGCTTTAGGTGCAGTCATGTTTTAAAGGAGTTTTCCACAATTGTGAAAGTTGTACATGCGTTTAGGCTATAAATGAATACTGACATACAGATATAAAAACTGGCATTGGCGCCTGACTAATGAGGGTTGTCAATTAGCACCATTATGATACAGGCTTTAGACTCCTATGTAAAAACAAATCAAAGTGAAAACAGGGTTTTGCCCAGTGCCCAGTAAAAAGAAAAAAAAAAAAAAAGTAATTCAATCATTTTCTGATCAAACTTAAATAGAAATATACATTTTCCATTAATAAATTGTTTATAGCAAATATAATCAGAATGCTTTACGAACCTGCATATGCCAGTTCCACCTCTGTGTATGGGATGGTGGGCTCAATGTCTGAAACTTTAAGGGCAGGGAGGCATGAGACATCCTGAGGCTCGCTTTGAAGGCGCTGTAATTCTAGACCTTTAATATAGATAGAAACATAAGTTTAAAATAAGAGACTTGAAAATAAAAATCTGAAGGAATATGAAGTAATGCCAACGTTGTACTCCTCAGTTACAAGCAACACTAGGACCTCCATCATGCTACGGTTAGAAAAGCTTAGGAGACTGAAGACCAGCTGCAAAAACTGGATTATTTGTACTCCCTATAACATCAGTTTTTCAAGAGTTGTTTGTGGGACACAGCAGACCCCTGGGGAAGGACAGACACTAATAAAAAAATGTGCTCCTCCCCTGAAGGCTAAACCCTTAGGACAGGAAGCTGAAATTGACTACCAGATTGAGGAGAAACAATCAAAGAATAGTGACCAACAAAACTATGCAAACATGCAAAGTCACAAAAGAATGGGGAGGGAGGATGGGTTGATGATCTGTGTTCCCCAAACTATTCATCAGTACAGACAGTATCAAAAATTCTGTTTCCCTTAAAGCTCATTGAAGGTTAAAGCAGATTCCTGAAGGTGTTAAAGTGACCCTGTCACTAGTCTCAACTCTGAAAGTAATCATCTTCCTGTAAAGAAGCTTAAAAGGACATTTCCACCCTTGTAAGCGATTTATGTTTTTTTGTGGTAGCGGTTGGGGGTCGGGTGGGGTGGGGGGGGAGGGGTCGGTCGACGGTGATGTCCATGTTTCTGCATTGTCAAGAATCACAGGGCTGTTTTTCCTACTTTATTTAATAGACTCTCACAGGTCAGAGTCCTAGAAATTCAAAACCGCAATTAGCCGATTCCTCTCTCCTGCTGCCCGCCCCACGGCACACAGAGGAGTCCTCCTGAGGTCTGCTGGGAAAACGGACATTAGAGTATTGATTTTCTGTGCCCCTTGCAACGTTCACCAATCCCCTTCTGCTGAACTCAACTTCACTAAAGGACGCAGTAGAGTTGTGGAGGTCTACGGGAGGAAACAGTAAGACACAACAAGTCGGCAGTTTTGGATGCAAGAAATAACTCATATTTTAATTCTGTTAGATGGATAGTAATACTATATTAAGGTTTCTTAAATTTTGGGACTTGGCTTGGGAGATTGTCTACAGACCTGCTTATGCCATTATAAAGGGGTCCAGCTCTTCCGTGTTTTAACTTCTATTATGCAGAATGCAAAAGAACAACCAAAAGGCGGAAGGATAGGCAGAAACAGAGCCAGACCTACGAAACGGAGCCACAGAAGAAGCCGGAGCTGACACACTCTATAGCTAAAAACTAAGTTTTGGGTAGATAGAGACTTTAAAATGTGTATAGACATGTCATTTAGCTAGGTACCTTTCTCATAAATCTGTTTTCGGTCTTCTTCAGACAAAGCATTGACCTTTTGATTTAGTTTTTCACATTCAAGCTCTGCTTGTTTCTTGCAGTATTCTTCATCGGGACTCATGGTCAATACCATTCTGTGCAGGTTGTTCTGGAAAACAGGAGAGCTACTGATGATACCAAAGATGGATAATAAGTGAGGTCATAGGATAACTGTAGAGTACTTAGCACACCTATATGATCCAGAATGTGGCTTTATTACTTAACATTTACACCACCTGACCACATGCCGGACTAGAACTGTGCCCTGCATTGTCAAAATCATACATTTGAAGCAAGTTCCCCGCACATCGCAACAGTCACCTTTATGGGGTTTGAGTGATCACACCTCCAAATACAAAAATGCATTAGTTTCAATATAATTAAAAACTGACCCTGCTTAAGACTTCAGTGTATTAACATCACAGATAGATCTTCCCAACTTACTCCACACCAACCCAACAACCACATGCTGCAAGATGATTGGGGCTGACCGGGTCAGACTTCACCTGAAACATCACTTCGGGTAAAAAATGTTTGCAGCAGAACCATACAAATAAAACGGAGATGGAGCAATAAGCTTCCTGCTTATCAGCAGTATCAAAAAGGGGGTAGTCCACTGATTCTATGTGGTAGGGCCCAAAGCAATGGTAAAACAAAGCCACAAGGAATTAGTATCCAGTTTTAACTAAACAGAACTACAAATCAGAATTGGTAACACTAATACATGTTACTCTGTGCTTTTCAGTTACTAAACTTTATATTAAAAAGTATGTCTTCCCTCCTCTCTTGTTGAGATTTGCCACTGAAAGTATATCACTTCCATCACTTGCCTGGTGTCCTCAGATGACAGAAGAGTGCCACAATGATGCTGTGCCATACTGCAACACACATTTGTGTACTGTGGTGGCATTTATTTAGCAAATGGCATGTAATGTGGTAAAATGACTGAGCAACACACATTAACACTTTAAAGGAGAACTATGGGGTCAGTGTTTTTCCCCATAGTTCTCCTTAGGGTAACGGGAGGACACAAACTAGCGTCCTCCCATTACCTTAAGCTCAGTAGCTCGCGGTATACTTAGATGCCGCAGCCGGAGCGGATCTCGACTTAGATGACGGGATCCGCCCAGCTGCGTGAGTGACAGCTGGCTCTGCCTATCTAAAGGCAGAGCCAGCTGTACCCGCCCCCTCCCGTTCCGCCAGTCAGCGCTGGCAGATCGGAGCGGGGAGAGGGGAATCCAGCCCCTCCCCCTGTCACGGCAGAGAGCCGTGACAGGATCGAGAGGAGAGCGAACCCGGTATGTGTTCGCACCCCTCCTGATCTACTGAGCCGACCTGTGACAGTCTCATTGTCACAGGTCGGCTAGAACTATGAGGTGAGTGAAAAGCACTGACCTCATAGTTCTCCTTTAACATACAGTATGTTAAGGCGCAGATTGCATCACACCAAAACAAAAGTAAAAAGGTGTGAAGGAACCTTCAAGATACTCTTCTTACTCTCAGTATAATAGTTTTTCTGTGTCCTGCAGACAAAACTATAAAAATTGTTTACCCTCCGCCAAAATACAATTACTAATCCTATGATTAGTGTGTCGTATTGCTGCTCCCAGCAAGAATAGAAATACCTGAAAATACTGTTTGACTTTTTCCTGAAGGAAAGCAGGGTTATCCTGAACACACTGTCTAAATCGATGTATTTTTTCTCCTAGTTTCAGCAAATCAACGGGATCGACATCGTGATTCCAGCTGGATGCTATGTACTTATTGAAACAGAAAAACACAAAGGATTAGCAGCATACAAACAACTTCAGCTCTTGCACCTGTTTACCTCGCATTGACTAGAGCAATTTTTACATTTTGGCTATGGGCCTCCTGATTAGGCAATGGATTTGTCATTAAAAGAGAACACCGAGTGGCCAGATTATTATGACCACCCCATCAGTACTTCGTTGCGTTGGGCCATGAGATTACTTCGTTGGGCCGCCTCGTGACTCCACGAGATGTTGAAAGGTGATGTGAGGAATCAGACACTGCACTGTTTCCCTTCTGTTGTCTTGTACCAGTCTTGCCACTCTCCGTTCTGCCCTAACATTGACTAGTCGCTGACGGCCACAATTCGCACTTTCAGACCCATATTTTCGGCTGACAGTCCAGTCTTTAAACACTTTAACAACAGCTGCTCTTGAACATTTAACAAATTCTGCTGTTTTGCTGATACTCGCTCCATGACTCCGAGCACCAACAATCATCCCACATTCATAGGCTGTTAAATCGCGTTGTTTACCCATATCTTCAGAAAAAAATCACTTCTACTGCCGTGGTAAACAACCTGCTTCCCTATTTATAATGGTCTGGCCCTCTAGCAACTTCAGCGCGAAATTATAGCTAATTTGCCTACAAACGTCAGGTGGGCATAATAATCTGGCCACTCAGTGTATAGCTCGTGGTATACTGATACCGCCGCAGCCGGGACAGATCCCGACATTACTGTTGAGATCCACCCAGCTGCATGATTGACAGCTGGCTCTGCCTATCTAGAGGCAGAGCCAGCTGTACCAGCCCCCTCCCCGTCTGTTCATCCACTCAGCACTGGAGGATCAGAAAGGGGAGGGGGGGGGGGGGTGATGGGGGGGGGGAATTCCTGCGGGGAATGGGGACTGACAGTCACTGCTCTCTGCAGGGAGATGATCGAGAAGTGAGCGAGCGACGGTATGTGTTCACTCACTTTCCAATCTTTTGAGCCGACGTGTGACAGTTTAATTGTCACATGTTGGCTCGAACTATGAGGCTGAGTGATTTTCACTCACCTCATAGTACTCCTTTTGACTATCACAGTAAAATTTACTTGGATAGTCAATTAAATTATTTTTTTAAAACACAATTGGCAAAATGTTTCATTTAAAATACAGGTAAAACAAGCTATATGCTGGGTAAAGCTTTCATAAATCAGCCCATACGTTATCAGTAAAAAGTAAAGTGAAATAAAAGCTTTTTTTATACAACACAAAAAAAGTGAAAGAATGCAAACAGCAGGGTAAGGGGGCATTAATGGCCATACTAGACACACTCTTTGGCCTTAATTAATACACACAGGGCATGTCCAGACTGTGACTGATGGGGAGAAGATCAGGAACCGAGTGATCAGCAATGTGATCGCTCAGTTCTCGATCAACAGAGCCAAAGTGTGACAGCTTCAGTGTCACTCCTCAGCTCTGATTATAGGGATGAGTGTATTTCACTCTCCCCATAATTCTCCTTTAAAGAACTGGAATAAACTATGTACTGCAAAACATGAAAATGTTTGCTGAAAATCACTTGGCCCCAAACCAGAAGGTAAGGCACATCTTTTCCTGGCACATGGACTCAGAGTCATTTTAAATGTGCCTTTCCTTCTGATTTTTAGCATTTAAAATAACAGAATGATATCACATATATTCTCTGTACACAAACACAGCTACTCTTATCAATTGTCCAGAACCCCCCAAAAAAATGGAAGGATGCACTTGAGAGGTCCAACAATACAAATGGACAGAAACTTACAGAGGCCAGAGACAGCCCAAAGCTCGTAGACTGGTGCTTCATCTGGATTTCCAGTTTGTGCAGAAGAGCTTCAATTCTTGCAGGCTCAAACCCCTTCCTAAAAAACAAAGAATGTTCTAAAGGAGCCAGTCCACCAGAGCAGACCACCGAGAGTCCGCCAATGTCCTTTTCATTATGCTAAAAAGAAATCTAGATGAAGTAGTGAATACTACTTAAAATATTTTGAAGACTCCTAGAATTAACTCTGTGAATTAACTTCAATGTCTACATACGCATGCATAAGACTGACAGGAGCTCCATAAAAGGAACAGTCATTAAAAAAAACCCAAAAACTATTAAACATGCACAGTATTTTTCTACTAGTATTTGATTAGGGACTGCCAGGTATTACAGTATAACCCCCTTGAAAGGCTGAGGGTAAGTAGGTGGAGAATGGGGACACAGCAGGCCATGGGGGTGCGGTGTGACACCCCAAAATTGGGAGGCCTAGTGCAACACAGATGGGGAGAATATAGCAGCTACTGGGGAGTATTTCTAGCACTATTTCTGAACCCGGTGTAACACTGCTGGCAGCAAGAGAAATACTCCATGCCAGGAGGAGTAGAAGCTCCACCAGGAAGGAAAAAAAAAAAGAAGACATTTTTCTACCTTCTTTCTTGAAATGGGAATCTTAAAATGTATTACTTCCTAGAAGACCAAGCTAGCTAAAAACTGAGGTTGCATCATACTCTTCTACCAAGTGTCCATTCTCCTGGGGGCAGGGCTAATACCCCTGTGTTCTGCTGTGTCCCCCATTAACCTTCTGAGAAATTATGACAATTTTAAAATACTTTGCCAGTTTAGGTCCCCATTTCCCTAAAAAATAAAAACCCCCACAGATCATGTACTACAAAGTTTCCTTGCCCCTAGTGGTGAAGTGTAGTACTACAGTCCAAAGCTAAAAGATTACAACAAACACCTCCCCATTAGGGACAATTTTTTTGGTATTCTGTGGTCACACTTCAGTCCAGCAAATACTTAACAGTAATGTTTGGTAGGGACTTATTAGAGGAATTATTTTACCATGGTATGGCATAAAATTATCCCAAATAACATCTTTGCAATATACTTTACAAAAGAAAACTTGCACTTACTGCACAACCTCGACAATGGTTTTAGTGATGATTTCTTTCACAGTGTTTACATCCTCCTCAGCTATCCCTTGCAATCCGATGCTGAAATAAGTATCTCTCGTACAATTGGTGAATCTGAAATCAGTAAAGGAAGATGACATTACATCGGTACAAACACTAATCTAATTACACCAATAAATATTAAATGACTGATGTGCTTACCCAGAGTCTGGAGAGAAATCTGTCCCAAGCTTGGCTTCTAGTAAAGCTTTATAGAAAGGGGAATTTGGTCCATCAACCAGCAAAGAAGACAGAAGGCTCAAAGTAAAAACTTCAAACGGGTCCGTGATTCTAGTGCATACAATAAAAGCACATTTTTAAGTTCAACTAAACCATCATAGGCAACAATTTATATAGCAGTATCACATACATGGCATACAATTCACGGCTCAAAAATCTAAAGCAAATGAAAAAAATAAAAAATAAAATAATAATGTAGTTAATTGCAGATAACTCAATAACCTAATATGACAAAAAAACTATTCATTGTTTTACATGCACAATTAAAGCTAAACTGCAGGCCCCACCCCTTCTAACTAATTTGCTGGCATTAAAATAAAAAGCAACCCAAGTGCCTTTTCTGCTCACCTAAATCGGCAGTCACATGACACTCCAGTTCTGAGTCGGAGAGGGGATTCATTTTTGGCAGGAGATGAGCCAGGAACTTGCATTACTGATAATGCATATCCTAATCCATTCTGACCAAGGTTTAGACCCTTCATGACCATGAGTCATTGAACCCCGGATGTCCACACAGGAGTTTGCTCTTCACAGTTTAGTAACACTTGCACAGCCTATGTTTGGACAGTGAAAGGAGAAGCAGCAGACTGATGACCTCATCTCTCTGCTTTTCCATGTAAGCACATGATCATTGCAGTAAAAACGATAGGCTCCAAGTGTTGCTTCTTCCTCCCCCAGTCTGCACTCTGCTGTACACTGGACTACAAGGCTTAATTCAGGTACTTATACTGTGCAATAAAAGTGAATGTAATGATAATTAATAAACAGAGAACTGCATGAATCTGCCTTTTCACCTGTCTGGAGTTCAACTTTCAAAGTAGTAAGCAATTTCTCATAATGAATTCAACAGTTTTAACCTATTTTCCAGTAAGGATTTGGATACTTACTCCGATGTCAGAAAGCTAATGCTGACCATCGTCTGTTTATTTGGATCCGGTGCGAAGGTGTCTACACCACAGGTGATGTGATCTTCTCTCTGTGAAGGACAGATTATTTTAACATTCTGTATTTAATCAAACAATACATTTAGGTGGCACCAATAGCACAGGTGGTACTCCCTCATTACTGTACGTGGTTTGCGGCTCATAGCAACATTATACTGAATACGATCATTACATAAAAACAGTGATCAGAAAGAATGTTTTTGTGATGGCTTTTGCAAGGCAGATACCAACCGATGCATCCCAGTGCTTCTGTGGAAGAACTTCAGTGTCTGGGTCTATGCGTCCAAACTTGACCAAGGCATCTTCATGGATTTGTTTTAAATGCTGCTCCAAGGGGAAGTCACCATAAGTAAAGAATCTGGAAGATGAGAACATATCTGTCACTAAGTCTCTCTTACAGAAATTAAGTATGCTTTAATGAGGAACACAAGGAGTTTTTAAAAATGAACCCCAACTCTGCCCCTAGACCAAAACAAGCTCTTAACCCCCTACAGTGTGAGGGTAGCCCCACTGCAAGGATTCATTTGAGGAGAAAAAAAAAAACCTGAAGTTCTTTAACAATTCTGGTAAAAGCAAGCAATAATGAATACACGGATATACCTGTTACAGGCCCTATTCAGTCAGCCTTATTACCATTTAGCCAAGTCCATAGGGAATGTATGGGCCATTTATGTACATGAGGTTTCTGAAAGCAGACAATCCACCAGAACCAAGCAATTCAGGAACATTAAAGCAAAACTCTGAACACACCACTAAAACAAGAAGTTGTAAAAAAAAAAAAAAAAAGAAGAAGTTTAAAAAGTTCATGGTTTCACCTGCCAAAGGATTTGTAATTTCGTATAGTAAGCCTTTACACTTCCACACTGCAACATGGGTGACATGTCTTACTGATTAACATTTTTCCTGCTTCAGCAAGCTGGCTAATTATACATATAGTTATTACTTTATTTATTTATATTAGTGATGCACTGATACCGTGTTTTCGGTATAGAGTAACAATATATTTTTCAGTATTTGCCGATTCCGAAAGCTAGGCGTCATGTAATGACACGCTTCCCGATCCAGGAAGCAGTCTCCATGCTCCGTCATCACCAGGTGACGAGGAAGCATGGAGGCAGCTTTCTGGCCAATCAGCAAGCAAGGGGGGCGGGTAATGACTCGCAGCCTGGCTTCCTGATACCGGATGTTCCGGTATCGGGTGCATTTGTGCGAGTACTACTCAGTATCGGCACCAATACTGGTATCAGCACAGCACAACACACACACACACACTGTAGAAGAGCAGGACAAAATTACAAATGTTTGGGCAGCAGAAACAGTGAATACATATGTATGCAAACTGTGTATTTAGCCATTTGCCTAGAGTCCCACTTTAACTGCCGGACAGTTACATAGTATTTGGGGTTGAATAAAGACATATGTCCATCAAGTCCAACCCATATAGGTCCACGCATCATCTCATTCTTAGGGATACTGTATCCCCTCATTAAACCTCATCTGCCATAGTATTGCCCACTCCCCCATTTTATCCAGGTCCTCCTGTAATGTTATATTGTCACGATCCGTTTCTAATACCCTCCCTATTTTTCTTATCGTCTGCAAACACAGAAACATGGCTATTCACTCCCTCCCCGATATCATTAATAAATAGGTTGAACAATGGGTTGACAGTTGCATAATTCGCTAAAGTCTGTGCAAATCAGCATTTAAGTAAACTAAACGTGAGATTTTAGTCCATCACAGGAGTGAGCTTGGAGTGGTGATTACTTTACAACACACACAGGGACCATGGGGAACAAAAGTAGCCCCCCTCCAGAAGGAAGGACAGTGTCAGCACCCATTGAGAGATGATTTACGGCTGCGTGATACACAAATAAGATACATTTTTTTAAATAGTTGGGGTACTAGGGACTTAACTCCTCAGTTTAGTGTCACTTTAAAGAAATGTTTTCACATTGTTTCACAAAGAGTTGCAGCATTTCCAGAATTAGAATGGTGTCACGTTATGCAGTAATTATAGATGAAAGCAGCTCATTTTCCAAACATTTACAGTTTGTCTCTAAAAATAAAATAGTCTAAAATTCATAACTATAAAATGCTGTGCGCAAATCCCACAAGTAAAAACCCCGTCATTCTAATCTGCGTGTACAAAAGCTGCAATCCTACCAAACACTTGTGTTTGTTGTTCCCGGTACCATCAGTTAACCCCCTTCCTGACATTTATTTCCTTTAGTGATGAACCTAACTTTTCTTCTGGGCCTCAGCTGCTTTCTGTTTCTTCTCTACATGTAAAAATACACAAGCAGGGGTATAAAAATAGTCCTTTTATTTCTTACAGCACTACACAGGCAGAATGGATAACCAGTCAAAATAAACACAAACACAGAGGGGAGGAAGTGCAAGAGACATAAATAAAGCTGCCAAAATAGTAACAGCTGGATCTGGCAGGGACATGAAATAATGTTAAGGATTGTTATCTGGGACGAGAACTGCCACAGTTTATAAGCTGCTGGACAGATCATCGTTATTTACTTTGTAAGCTTCATCCTTACTTATAGGTCTGTATACTGAGAGAATAGAGTATATAGCAAATTGAAAAAACGATGCCTACAAAAACAATCTGCTAGAAAATAAAAGATGGACGTAGCTGTGGATCAGCTGGGTGCTGTGTAAAGCTGGTCATACACCCATAGAGATTATCTGCAGATTTTCTATGGTCAGATGGAAAAAGTGCTCTCAAAATACCTGAACAATCTGATTGGATGCAGACATTGTTCAGGTATTTGGACAGCCAGCGGGGCCGACTAGCAAGATACTGAAGCTTGGCCCAGGTGGAGATTACTCCATCCACACAGTTCAGGCTGGGTTCACACCTAGGCGTATCGAATATGCTCGTAATTCGCGGTAAAAACCATGCAACAAACGCGCGTTTCCAAGGGCTACAATGGAAACGCGTGACAAAAACACCCCAAAGAAGCTACTGTACTTCTTTGGGCTTAGGGCGTTTTGTAGCGCGTTCATACGGCTTGTAATACGCCCAGGTGTGAACCATACCCATAGAAAATAATGGGATTTTGGTGTTTGAGCGTTTTGCAGAGCGTAGGAACGCGCTACAAAACGACCAGGTGTGAACCGGTGTAGATGGAGGAATCTGTTGCACTTTTTCCCCATCTGAACATAGAAACTCTGCAGATAATCTATAGGTGTATGGCCAGCTTAAGGCTCTATTGTTTAAACTATTACTCTGTGGTCTGTCCATGCAAAGTTTTTAAAGAAAAAAAGCCATTTTAGACAACACAACCCCCCAACAAATCCTGACACCCCTCTCACCGCCGATAATTGGCGAGATCTGACGCCCTCATCCACCTGCGTTTGTTTACATCCCGCACTGCCAAGTGTTCTCTCTCCTGGCAGTGCCTGTGCAGAAAAGCCCTACAGGAATAGTATATAGGGCTTGTCTACCAGCTGGGAGACAAAGGTAGATGCAGGTGTACCCAAGTGGGGGGTAGAGGAGGGAATTAGTGCATTTTAACAGGAATGGCTGGACAACATGAAGCAGAATCCTCTTGAAGTCAGAAACCATTTAGCAAAATTAGAGGTCAGCTACCATTTTTATTTTGTGTCTCTGTAGGGGATATGTATGAAGTGTCAGACTCCAGGGGTTTATCTAGCAAACTTTGCCATCGCCATTAGATGATCAGTGTACAATCAATTTCATTGACGATCTTATGTCCGTAGGCAGCAGCAGATATAAATTTGATGAAACATATTTTCCTTGGACATATTAAAAAGTAAATGGTCATAGGGAAGGAAGAGGGTATAGTTTGAGCATGGGGGAAATCTTGCAGCTGGCAGCAAGAGATAAACTAACAATGGTGCACTAAGACATCTGTCCTCTGGTACTGTACCTGGCATTGCTTGGGTGATAGTGAGTTGCGTGGAAGTGTTTGAGCTGCTCCCATGTGAGATCTGGAATGTCTAGCGGTTCTCCTCCAGACACAACCGAGTATGTGTGGTCAGGAAGAAGTTTGCTCTGTAGGTGCTGTGCATACACTCTTTCATTATCTGTCTAAAGGAAAGTATATGAGAAAAAAATATATATATATATATATATACACTACAGGTTACAATTAAGAGGGATCACAAGGTGCTCATGTGAAAAATAGACTTATGGAGGAAAGATGCAGGTCAAAAACACAACTATAGCAACAGATCCCCCTGTATCTGCTATGTGCACAGTAGTGTAGACCGGTAAGCAGGGAAGAAAATATAAAAAAAAACAATTGTATCAGCACTGGCATCTACACATTGTGGGATCTTCTTAAAACTAATGTAAGGACACAAATGCTGTCATTGGACACTGGCCACTGATAAGGTTAAGCATTTATTGTCGGGAATGATTTGGTTATTTGGATACTTAACTGCTAAGGTAAGTAAGAGTACTGTTAGGGTACCTTTTTGGACTCCAAAACTTTACTATCAACTAATTTGTGGCCTCAAAAACCATACACTGAGAAATATCACAGGGCTTCAGTCACCGTAAACCAATGTAATGCTTGTAATAATGACACTTCCATAAAAAAAATAAAAATAATGAATGTGTATATATAGTTCTGAACATAAGCCACATACTTTCCCCTACATCTATATGCTGCAGTGCTAGTCGACAATGTTACAGATGTTTTGGTAAGACTTCCTTCAAGATAAAGCTCGAAAGACCAGAGTCAATAGAGCAAGCCTGGCTAGGAAGACAGCATATGATAGAAATCCAGTGAGGACAGAAATACGAGAACTGACAATGTTGGCTGGTTTTTAACAGACAACTTCACCTTTAGATTGCCAAGTAAAGATCTCCATCATGGAGCTGAAGGTCAGTATTTAATCATGCTGGGTACACTGATAGGGTAGGGTAGGGGCAGAGGCGTATCTACCGCAAGGCATTTGCCTTGGGTGGAATTTTCCAGAGGGTGGCAAAAAACGCTGCCACCAAACCAGTGCGGCAATCTCCGAATTACCCGAATCCACTTACGAGCTCAGCCTCCTCTCCCCAACGCTGGCAGAAGGGATACAGCGCACGCCTGTTACTATTTAAACAGGCGCTTGCTGTATCCAGCTTCTAACAGGATAAGCAAAATGTGCAGTGGGCTTCCCTGCTATGCTAATAGCACAGCCTGTCAGAAGCTGGATACAACGTGTACTGTATCCAGCGACTGACAGTAGAGCTGCAGCTAACGATTATTTTCAAAATCGATTAGTTAGCCGATTATTAAGTTCGATTAATCGGTTAATCGGATAAGCAATAAAATACATTTTAAAAATGGCTCCAGTGATGGGACTACTAGTTTGTATTGAGATTGTAGTCCATCAAGCTTGGAGCGGTGGAAGTAAAAAAGGAAAAAAAGTGTGGTGTGCAATATAGTGAAATTAAAAGTGTAAAATTATACAGCAATGAATGCAGAATGGCACCGGCTATAGAGGACTACAAATCCCAGCAATAGTACAATATACAGCGCAATGCAGAATATCACCAGCTATAGAGTAGCACAACAAATCCTTATAGCTGGTGGTATTCTGCATTGCGCTGTATAATGTACTATTGCTGGGTTTTGTATTCCTCTATAGTTAGTGGTATTCGGCATTGCACCACTATATAATGTACTATTGCTGGGATTTGATGTACTCTATAGCTGGTGGTATTCCGCATTGCGCTGTATAATGTATTATTCCTTGATTTGTAGTCCTCTAAAAAGCGCACTGCAGAATACCACCAGCTATATAGGAGTACAACAAATCCCAGCAATACATTATACATGCAGTGTATAATGTATTGCTGGGATTTGTATTCCCATGTATAATATACAGCACAATGTACCATCAGCTATAGAGGAATACAAATCCCAGCAATACATTATAGAGCACCATGTGTGGAAAAGTGCAGGCTTACCTTAGCAGTCTTCCAGCAACTTGTTTCTGAGATCGGGCCTTTTTATCGGCGGCTGTCATCCCCCCACACCTGCTCCTCCTTACTACATCTCCCCGCGTCCCTGTGCCGATCGTGGATGTGGGTGGGCGGTGAGTGTGCGGCGGGGAGGAGGTGCGGCGTGAAGAGCGTGTGTGGAGCCGCGAACAGGGCCAACTGATCGGAAGCCGATTAATCGATTATTGAAAAAGTTGACAACTTTTTCAATAATCGATTATAATCGATTATGTCGATTAGTTGTTGCAGCCCTAACTGACAGGTTCCGCATAATATCTTAAACAGGAAGGGCTGGGACAAATTTAGATTAGGATGGGTGCCCGAGTTTAGTCTTGCCTAGGGCAGCACAAAACCAAAATACACCACTGGGTAGGGAGGCTATAAAGGACAGCTTCACTAAAAAGTTGTTCTTTAAAAGGTTCATGTTTAAGGGTTCTCTCCTTGATCCTACCATCACTACCAAGTATGTCACCTGGTTAAAACAAGCTTGGAGATTGGGAGCTCTACTTTTCAGAATGTCTACTTATTCCTAAGTGGTGAAAGGTCAGGATGACAGCCTTAGAACCAGCATCTTCCAAAAAAAGTCAGCTCCCATATTTCTGTCCCCGCAGGTTCACTTTGAAGTTACACTTCTGATACAGATATTACAGAAAGTAAGAAGTCCACTTACAAATGCCCCCTTCATCTCATTAAAGACAATGCCTTTGAAAACTAAGGGAGAACTAGGATTGGTGGGGTTTTCATGTTCTAATCTCCATCCTTCTTGCCTACAATAAAATCGAAAAGAAAATTCATTGAACAATGATCGTCTTTTACTTTTATAGATGAATTGTACACATCACTTGGTAATACTATGCAAACATATATTACCAAAAGTCCAGTTCTCTAAGGTAAGGGAAGAACACGGCATCTAAATAGACAGACAGAAGATTCTGGAAGTCCTTGGGGTTTTGGGAAGAAAACGGGTACATGGTGTAATCACTTGCTGAAATAAAAAAATTAACAGACTGATTAAGATTTACACACGGTGCTGCCCTGACCTCTGCTTGATCTATATTTATTCCAATAAGGTATTTTTGTCTCACTTGCTGCAAAACACTACCACCAACTTAAATGGTCTCCACACTGCCAGGGGGTGCAGGGCTCTCTCTCCCCAATCAAGGTCATCCTCCAATTTGTCTGTTTACAAGGGGGCTGTGGAAGTGTGGACAAAGGCCTGCCTTACACTTATGCAGTGCATGTTACATGCATCACCAGGGCTTGAAACATTTTAGGATGTCTCACCAGTCTGTCAAAAATGTCACCAGTCAGCATGACCGGACTAAAGCCTTGCAATTTATGTTAACATTTTTAAAGGGACACATTCCCCAAAATGATTGCTCTCACGCTGACGTTCGCAGTGATATGTTACATGTGCGGCACAAATGTCGTTTTCACACATAGGCGCACCCGACACATGTTTGCATGTGTATGTGGGGGGCGGGGGACTTTAAAAAAATGAGTCTTTTTAATTTAATGTTTTTATTACTTTTTTTTTTGCACTTAATTTTATTGCTATCACATGGGGGGCTAAGAAGACCCCTATGTGATAGCCAATTTACATGACAGGTCTTCTTTATGGAGACATCAGGAGTCTCCAAGACCCCTAATGTCACCTAGGGACCCCCCAGAGAAGCTGATTAAGTAGATATCTGCTTCACCAGCCTCTGAAACTGGAGAGTGACAGCAGAATGCGGAAGTGATGTAATATACATCGCTTTCTGCATTCGGGGACTGGAGAGATTAGGGGGAGATTGTGTACCGATCTCCCTTTGATCTCCTGTCAAAGAGCAGCCGGCTGCACCGGGCACAGCGGATCTCGGGTACGGCAGTACAGCTGCTGATAATACAAGCTATCGGGCATCTCTAGAGACGCCCGACCGCTTGAGTGTAAAGCTCCCGGCCGGCCGGAAGCTACCCGTCTGGCTCCAGCATCCTCTGGTCACAGGCGGATTTTTCAAGCCCTGTGCATTACTATTAAACCCTATATAAAACATCTTTTGATGAGAGATGCAGCAAGCAGGATTTTTTTTTTAAAGCACAACATCTAAAACGCACAGGTGTGAACGAGGCCTTATCTATGTAACTGTGGAAGCTTCCAAGGAAGACGGACGGTTAAAATTTAAAGAGATAAGTCATTGTATCGCCTTTTCACATTATCATTTAAAACGGACTGTATGACTTGCTCCCTAATTACCTGTGAAGGCATTCATAAACGTGGACAAGGACCGATTGAGCATCTTGAAGAATGGGTCACGGCATGGATATTTCTGAGAGCCACACAAAACAGTGTGTTCCAAGATGTGCGGGACACCGGTGCTGTCCATAGGTGTTGTCCGGAACTGCACACTGAATAAATGACACAAACTTGTGTTGGTTCCGGGAAGGGTTTAAAAGTTAATAGACATAAATAGCATACATTTTTAAAGATTTGTTTTTGTCTTGGAAACATCAGACACATTATTTCCATACAGTAGTATTCTTTACCTGAGGTAATGACCAACTACAAAAAGGACCATGTTCCAGAATGTCAACCTACAGGCCTCTGCAATAAAGTGTGCATGAGGAAAAACACTAGGGGGGGGAATTTAACAAAACTGGAGCAGACAAAATCTGGAGCAGTTGCCAATGGTATCCAATCAGCTTCTCTCTTCTGTTTGTTCAGTTAAGCTTTGAAAATGAAAGGTGGATGCCGATTGGTTGCCATGCACAGCTACTCCAGATTTTGTCTGCCCAAGTTTTGATAAATTCCCCGCTAGGTATAAAAGGCAATCCCCAACTGATGTGGATGAAAACGCAAGTAAGGCGCTGTGTAAATTGATGTCACTTATAAACTGCCTGAAATAAACAATTGGTAGTTAAATCCATTTATTTGAAGGAGTATGAATAGATGAAGTTACATGCTAGAGATAACAGAATCAGATTCTCCATCCAGCGAGTATGTGAAAGCAGTACAAGAATTTGGCTCAGCAACGTACCTGAATAAGTTGTTGGAGTCATCCCTGGCGAGGTGTAAATATTTCGCTCCTGTGCTTTCATGTTTGAGCTTTACTGCGGTTAAGAAGAATTCAGGAATAGGAGTGACCTGCAACCACGACAAACTCTTACTAAAAGGTTTACATAACAAGAGACCTAATTAATGGGATTAATATCTATAGCCATAACCACAGCAGTGCAAACACACAATAAGGCTCTCCCATACCACCTCTAACTAATTGCTGGGTTACACGTACATACTTCTGGCCTTCTGTAGTTGTTTTTGACTAGTTTAACTGGCTATTTTTTTTAGTATAAAAAGTATATTTTCACATTCTAGATAGAGTATGAAAAGGTTATACGCACTGTCATTTTTTTATTGCCTTTCTTACCCAATTTGGGAATTTTTGTTTTCACTTTCTGCCCTATAGACACAATAGGAAGAAGTGAGGGAAATCACGTTTTAGATGTCACCTGTTGGACAATTTCTACTCTATTAATGTGCTGCTGACAACTTTTGTATTTCCTATCTCTTTCCGTTTCAGTGACAGTAGTCATCATGACAAAGTTTTTAAAAAAAACCTACCTAAAGGTCATGTGACACTGCTGAATCTTCTCTTCATCTCCGTCGTCTAACGATGGGAAGGGGCGGGGGGGAGTCCTAAAGAAATTAACGATTAATCGAGGAATTAATCGTTAATTTCCGCAGCCCTAAATAAGACCCTTTGATCCAAACTGTGTACAAAACCTAATTAGGTGTATACATATCTGCAGCTAGAACCACAGCAACATACAATAAAATAAGTGATGCACTGATACTGATATCGGTGCCAATACTGAGCATTTGCTCCAAAACTGAAAGGAGTAGATATATGCAAAAGGTTTTTTTTTTTAAAACAAAAAAACCCTTTGACAGCAGTTTAAATTTACCCCGTCTTCGCCGCACACTCCCGACTGAGAATCCGAAACTGCTCGGGCGGCCGCAAAGCATCTTGGGGCGGGCGCATGCGCAGTTCGGATTTTCGGCCGGGAGACGAGCAGAGATGCAAGGTAAGTCTATGGACTCGTGCACCCGCATACAGACACCGCTGGATCGGAAGTGCCTGCAAGCAGAGAGGAGTCAGCGCTGGATCGGAGAGAGCCGCCGCACCGCTGGAGGGACAGATGAAAACATCAGGAAAGATGATCGGATTAAGAGACATCATTTAAAGGAGAACTGAAAAACACTGACCCCATAGTTCTCCTTTAAGGTAAGTGCTGACATTAACATTGGGGGGAGGGAAAACATTTTTTGCCTTTAATGTTACATCAGTAACCTGAATTCTAACTGGTTGCCGGGGGATACTAATATCACTGCCCTAAGAAGGTCATACACAATACATACTTGATATAACCATGCTGTTTCATGTCAATGCCATGGCAATACCTCGTTCACTGTGAATCCATGAATAACTTGTCCAGGTTTATAATTCAGTGCTCTCTCACTTGCAGAACTTGCTTGCCACCTCCATGAATTCTTAAATAAAGATCTTCAAAAAAAAAAAAAAACACAAGTCTGAGTCAGTATCTCTCTATAGACCTCTACAAGTATAAATACATACATAAAATTCAAAATGGCCGCCGACCTTGGTGACATTTGGAAACCATATTATATTTGTCAGTTATGATTTTGAGTTATCATATGTTTAACATACTTCAATAGTGATAGAAATGCACATTTATGCAATTTTCTGCAATGTTAAAAGTGATTGGGAGGCATGTATTGATTTTGGCATTGGACCTGTTTTTACCACCATGGTAGATGTCGCCATGGACATATGTGCAAAGTTTTGAATTATTCTGATAAATGGTTTCACAGATGAAGTGGTTTGCAAAATATTGCACAATCCAATATGGCTGCCAAACCATCTGTAGAGCATAGGGCTCTACCATTGTGCCAAGTTTCACGAGTTTTTGTCTAACAGAGGACTTATTACAGGCATTTGAAGAAAGTGGTGGAGTAATAATAATAAATAATATTCCACTTGCATGGAATATTCAATCAGAATAAACACCAACAGTTTACATATACTAATATGCCATACCAGGAACTTGGTGAAAACAAATAATAGAAAAGCAACAAGCTTGTTTGTTCTCTGCAGTCTGTGCATTCAGGCCCATTCACAACACATCCAGATCATCTCCAGACCAGACCAGATCGTTTCCAGACTCAACATGCATCCTAATGTTTCGCCTATGCTTTTTCTGGCCTCTGTTCACACCAACGCAGTCCGTCCCAGAGCAGACCAGAAAAATATTGCATGTCTCATTTTGTTTGGTCTGGCATTGCGGGTAGGTTCACAACATTTTCTGGACCAGATCTGTTCCGGAAAATGGTGTGAACCTGCCCTTAGTCCTATGTACAGCTCCTCCCAGGTTTTTTAGGACAACAGTGAGAGAGTACTTCCTGGGGCCTGTGCTATGCCAATCGCTTTCGCTAGAGTTTTGGTATTACCTGTTAAACTTCTAAGGCTGGTTAGAATGTGACAAGTGACTTTGAGAAATGCCATGTCAGGAATCTGCACAAAACACCGACACTTTTCCAATTTCACTTAAAATTAGCATTTTTTTTTTGTTCACTTTTGGAGACTAAACCCCTTATATTAAGCTCATGCCTGAGGGGAAATGCCTAAAACACTTCACTAAGTGGATGGATGAGATTTACAGAGCAAAGCATTCATTTGAGGCACTTCCACACCTGCATCAAGTAGGATCAATAAGACAGCTACAATGCAACAAAGGCAGAGGTCACAGCCCCTTCCAGTGACCACATTCCTTCAGTCTATAAAGGTCGCCAGTTCAGGAGTCAAATGTTTTCTGCTTATATTGGAGTCAGGCAACTGGGATCATAGAATGGCACAACATCGTATCATCTCAGAGAGCTGGGACAAACCCAGTGCCGGTGTTCTAACAAAGTTTGTTACTACGTTGGAATGTGTGACTGGTCACATATTTTAACATAATCCACCCCAGTTTTACAGCGGTGGAACGTGTGACCGCCCATTAGGTCAAGCATTCCAACGCTTTGTCAGCTGTTCCAGCGCAGATTGGCATCACAGATCGCATGTGCAGAGAACCGATCTGCATTACCCCATCTGCCCTGGAACAGCTGATCGGTCCTCAAATGTCACTTCTATCCGACTCTGTGAGTGTGATCTCACATTCCATCACACTCACAAAGTCGGATAGAAGTGACATTTGAGGACCGATCAGCTTCTGGAGGGCTTCACCTAATGGGCGGTCACACATTACACCGCTGTAAAACTGGGCGGGATTACGTTAAAATGTGTGACCACTCACACATTCTAACATAGTCACAAACTTCAAAGTTCAAATTGGTTACAGTTATTATATGACTGTCTCTAGGAACAAAAAGTGATCAAAGGAAAGTTTTAGAGAAAGGTGGGAGGGAGGAAGAGCGGGAAAGGAGGGTGGATTGGGTATTAGGTCCATCGGTGTGATGACATTACTGGTTGTGTTGAAGATCAGGTCAGTAGGGCTGCTGTCCGCTGCCGACTAGAGGCACCCCCTACATTTAATGGGCAGTCTCTTATAGAAGTCTAAGGGTGTCCCCGCCTAGTTCCGGGTGTTGATATAATACCCAAGGTTCCCATATCTTTAAGAACTTGGCATGGGTATCTTTCAGAATACTGGATAATCTTTCGTTGGTCATAATATTGTCTAATCTCGAGGTAAACTCGCGGTATGGCAGGATTTGTTTTTTCCAGTTGCTTGATAGGGTTAATGTGGCTGCCAAGAAGATCTGGTGTGCTAAGAATCTTTGGGAGGCAGTTAGACCAGGTATGGTGGTGTGTAACAGCACCTGAGTGGGATCCTTGGGAATGCGAGTATTAAACAGGCTGGAGAGTAAGTGATCAATTCTAGTCCAAAATCGTGAGGCAAACGGACATGTCCACCAAGTGTGGAGCATGTCACCAGGGAGGGTGCACCCGCGGAAGCAGACGAGGTTGGGTATATTTTGGCCACGTGGGTGGGGACCAGGTACCAGCGGAACATAACCTTATATGCCACTTCCATATTGGTGACATTATGGGAGCATCGAGAGATTTTTCCCCATACCCTGCCTGAGTCCTCCTCAGTCCAATTAAGATCAGTAGACCACTCAGATAAGAGTCGAGCAACCTGGGATCATAGCACAACATTCTATCATCTCACCCCACAGGGGGAGTCCCAGTGCCAACTTCAATCATTCCTTAGTGGCAATGGCATTAAAAGTCATTCTGACAGATGACAGGTTCTCTTTATATTACTTAATGACCTTGTCTGGCTCATTCTGTCCAAGGGATGCTTTGAGGGGGACAGACATGAGTTTGTCAACCATGATTCCCCCAATCTGGAGTGAATACACATTTCAGCAGGCACCGTCACTTACAGACCGGCCCTTTAAACTGCCACATGTAAATTACCGTTACAGTATGTACTATCACAGCACGTGCAGCCACATTAACAGAACTAGCAGCTCACAAAGGTCACCCCGGTGATAAAGTGTAATAGTAAAACAATATGAACCGGTTATCTTACCTAGCCAGTAACAGCCCGGCTCTGCACTGTCTTATCATCTCTGGGCTGTACACCCAGCCCGGCCCGGCTTCACTCTGCAGAACGAGCTCCCACCCCCCACTATGCCGGATAACCACTGGCCGGAGCCAGAGCTACGTGCGCGCTGATTGGCTGAGGGGAGTGGCCTTCCGTACTTGGCACAGAACGTGTGAAGAGCGCTGTGTTCATTTGTCAGCTACTTCTTTACGTCACGTGTCCTAGTCCCTTACTGGTTACGTACGATTTTCTGTAACCTAACTTTTTATTTGTATTTCATGCTGCTGTTTCAGCAGGCGCTCTGTGCGGCTATGAAAGATGCGGCGGCCAATCACGTGTTTTCTATCTGGCAATTTTCACTACAGAGGAAGAAAGACGGCCGCTGAATGGCTGTTAGTAATTGTTATTTATATGGAAGGTTGTCAGTTTGGTTTCTACTACTTTTTCTCTTTTTTTTTTAAAGTATATAGTAGGGTGCGTGAACAAGTGCAAAAACGTGTGACTTTGCTCGCTTTCACAAAATACTCAAATAACACGTCACAATTGTTAAAAGGGAACTTTTGGGAGAGTAAAATGTACTCGTCTCAATACTTACAGCCGACGTGTGACTGCAGATGTCACACGCTGGCTCTATAGATCACAAACTGCTGATCACTCAATTATTCCCTGCAGAGTGGCCAGTTGGCCACTGTCAGTCACGGCCTCCCCGCTCTGTTGCTCCAGTGCTCATTGGAGGGACCGACAGGAGAAGGGGGGCGGGCACAGCTGGCTCAAGAGAGGTAGAGCCAGCTGTCAATCATGCAGTGGGGTGGATCCTCGACAATATTGCCAGGATCTTTCCCGGCTGCAGCATATAGCGGCCAGAAGTCCACTAGATGCTGACTTTGGGTCATAGGATAACATTAGTATTCTCCTTAGGGGTCCTCCTGTGACCCCTAAGAGGACTAAAGCCAAACAACAGTTTTGGCTTTAGTTCTCTTTTAACCCCTTCATGACTGAGGCCTTTTTTTCATTTTTTGCACCCATGTTATATTCCACATTTTAGGCCTGAAAATGACTTAAAACCCCCAAACATTATATATTTTCTGAATGCCAAGACCCTATAGAATAAAATGGTGGTAGTTGCAAATTTTCATGTTGCGCAATATTAGCGCAACTCCTTATTAAACCCCAACATTTAGTGAAAATTTTAATTTAATGCCCCAAAACACAACAAAATACCAATTTTTTAAATGAAATATAAAAGATGAGGTTACAGCGAGTAAAACGATACCCAACATGCCCAGGTTACAAATTGCGTGCGTCCGTGAAACGGCGAAAAACTGCAGTACCCCAAAAAGTCAATAGAAGACGCTTTAAAAGCCCCCACAGGTCATCAATTTAGAGATACCCCAAAATACTGGCCCTAGAATTATTGCTCTCACTCTGGCGTGCGCGGCGATACCAAACATGTGTAGCGCGTTTGTCGTTTTCATATGTAGGCGCACCGAACGCGTGTTTACGTGGCGACGTACGGGGGCGGGGGACTTTTAATTTTTTTTCATTATTATTAGATTTTTTTTATTTTCATTTAAAAAACTTTTTTTTTTACTTTACTTTGACTGCTATCGCATAGGGGGGCTTACAAACTGTGATAGCAGATGGTGGTGACAGGTACTCCTTAAGGTGATGCTGGGGGCCCAAAAGATTGGAGGCAGTTAAACAGCCCCAATGCTGGCGATGTACACTGTACGTCGTCAGTCACAAAGGGGTTAATGGCACCTCAAATGCAGCATGTAAGATACGTCTTTTTGAGCACGCATAGACACATGACAAATGCGCAAAAACGCTCAGTAAAAAAAAACACTCAAACCTCACAACTCACACAGCTGCATGTAGCGCAGCTAATTGTAATGAATGGATTGACCTATGCAGCATGCAAAAAACATTCTAACAAGTGTGAATTGGTCCTTCAACCCCTGTCAGCTTATTATTTTGCTGTGTGAGTACCATTTGGGATATTCACCAAATATTCACTGCAGGAGATGATGGTTATAAATGGCAGTGACTGATTCACCACCAGTGAATGTTTGGTAAAAATCACATTTGCTGCCTTATTAATATATGTCTCCATTGTGTCTTGGGGATTCTCCAGAAGGTCTAGCAGTTGCTGTGCGGGGGGAGCAGACAAAATCTGGAGCAGCTGTGCATGGCAACCAATCAGCTTCTCTGTTTCATTTTCAAATCCTAACTGAACAAACTGAAGAGAGAAGCTGACTGGTTAGTATGGGCACATGCTCCAGATTCTGTCTGCTCCAGTTTTGATCAATTCCCTCCATAGAGTATTACATATCCAAAGACTACTCCGGTTCTTCTTTTTGTTCAATGCGTTGTGTACACATGCAGGATGGTCTGACATATAATACGTTCGCTGTATCGGCATTCGGCATTGGATAGCTATAGGTGATAAGAATCTATATGTCGATCACACTGCACATACATGGTTTTAATCTCTTTATCTACCAATAAAGAAGCTATGGGGGTTATTCACTAATGAGCCGAAGGATTAAGCCAAAACTCCGGCTCCGAACCGAAGGGCTGCTATACGGGCTATTCATAATAGCCAGTACGGCAGCCCAAGAGCCCAGCCAAGCTGAACACATATGCTTCGGCTCGGCCATGCCATTAAGGGCAAGGGCCTCTTCCCCACAACCCTGACCTAGTGGTTGTGGGGGTCTGCAGGGGTCCTCACCAAAGAAACCGTAAACTTACTCATCCACTCCCTTGTTATATCTCGTCTTGACTATTGCAACTTCCTCCTCATTGGCCTTCCAATACACAGGATATCCCCCCTTCAGTCTATCATGAATGCAGCTGCCAGACTAATACACCTAACCAACCGTTCAGCGTCTGCAACCCCCCTCTGCCAATCCCTACACTGGCTTCCACTCGCCCCAAAGGATAAAATTCAAAATATTCACAATCACTTACAAAGCCATCCACAACTCTGCCCCCGGATATATCTCAAACCTTGTCTCAAAGTATCACCCTAACCGCCCCCTCCGCTCTTCCAAAGACCTCTTGCTTTCTAGCTCCCTTGTCAGCTCCTCCCATGCTCGCCTCACGGACTTCACTAGAGTCTCTCCCATCCTCGGGAACTCTTTACCCCAACCTGTCCGTCTGTCTCCCACCTTGACTGCCTTTAGGCGATCCCTTAAGACTCATCTCTTCAGGGAAGCCTAAGGGATACCTTAACCTAACTGCTCAGCCATCACATTCTCAAACAATTCATCCCCACAAATCTACCTCCTCATGTATCCCTTCTCCCTCAGTTTGTGCAGTACCAAGCAGTAGGCAGAAACGTTGGTCTAACAACAAGCCAGTTTCACAAGGGCAAGCGGAGTTTAGCAGAGTCAGAGGATCAGGCCAAGTCAAATACAGGAAGCAGAGGCAGGAATCAGATACAAGGATACAGGACATTAGCTGAAGATCTCCCAGCACTGAGCACATGCAGAGTGCAAGCTTAAATAGGCCGTTTGGCACCATGGGTTGGCATGGGCGTGCACACGCCAACTTACATGCGCCACGTTAAGCATGCACATGTGCATTTAGTCCACGTGAAGGCGTAGTTATGTGCGATGTTGGCACCGTAGAGCTGCACACTCCCATTCTCCTGTGCAACAGCTCTAACAGCACTTGTCCTATGTACTCTGGCCAGATTTCCCTGACAATGGACCAGTTTGACAACCAGGTCATCCATTAAAGCAGCGGTTCTCAACCTGTGGGTCACAATCTCGTCGGGGGTCGAATGACGATTTGCCAGGGGTCGCCTAAAACCATCAGAAATGTGTTTTTTTGTCTATTCTAATCTGTAAAACTTGTAATTGCAGACATCCCAACTCTCCCGGACACTCTGGGAGTCTCCTGCTATAAGATAGCGGCTCTCGGCGCCCGGGAGAGAAACACTTTCTCCCGGAAAGGTTTACTCTGCTCGATCGAGCAAACCTTTCCAGGCTCTACATAGGAATACATAGCTAGATTCCTATTGGCTATTTCACTTTGCAATAGCAAACTAGCTCTTACACCCACACACTGCTGCTGTCAATCAGCAGTGGGGGACCTGAAGTTCTCCATAAGGTCCTCTTCTAGTGATTGACAGCAGCAGAGGGCGGGTGCAATAGCCAGCTTGCTATTGGATATTGCAAATTTAAATAGCCAATAGGAATCTAACTATGCATTCCTGTGCTGTTTTTTTTTTTTATGCCTGACTGGCGGCAGCCGGCGGCTCCGATGTCAGAAAAAAAAAAAAAAAAACAGAGCAGGGAAAGGTTTACTCTGCTCGATCGAGCAGGGTAAACCTTTGCCTGCTCTGTTTTTTTTTCCGGGAGAAAGTGTTTCTCTCATGGGCGGCCGGGAGCCGCTATCTAATAGCTATCTAACGCTAGCAAAATTACAGCGATGAAGGAACAACGAAAATCATTTTACTGTTAGGGGTCGCCACAACTTGGGCAATTTTATCAAAGGGTCGCGGCACTAGAAAGGTTGAGAACCGCTGCATTAAAGAGTCTTATTTGATAGAGTACTCCGTGTGGCCCTAAGTGTTACCCTAATGACATACCAAATTGTTCACTGCAAATGTGAAAAGATGATGAATCCTCCAAAATGCAACAATTTTCAGACCGCCAGATTTAAATGACTAGATTCCCCACAACTTCCTCCACCGACCACCCCACTGCTTTGTGACTAAGGATGAGGTTCAGGTTCACTGCTACCATGAGATTGAGACGAATCCTGCGTGTTCGTAGTTGGCAGTCCCAGCAAATGCAGGAATTCACTGTAGTAACCATAACCATAATGCACTTCTGGTCTTTGAACGTAGGTCAGCTGGCCTAGAAGTGCCAATAAGGGGGGTTTCAGATAACCCATCCCCCCACTATAGAAGGGTGGATTCCAAGCAGTCATAAGAACAATGTGCTTTAGCTGTGATAAGGAAAGCAAAGAGAGTTCTGCAGATAAACAGCATAGGAACATAATAATGTAGGATTTCGAATCCTTGGGTATCCCAGGAGGCAGCGGTAAGGCACTCGCTGGGACACCTTACACCGGCGCCCGCAACTTCCCCACAAGGTCACCGCTGCTGCCCCTCTGCGCTCTGCTCTGCTGCCCCGAAGTCGGGCCTTGGTGGCCTTGTGGGAAA